AATTTTAAAACAGTCAGCAAAATTGTCTTCAAGCCTTGAGAATCCCTAAAGTCTCAAACAAATGAAAGCATTAAATGTATCATCCCACCAACATCTCTCTACCATACTCTTTACCATTCCGCCTGTCTATGTAAATTTTTTTTTGTTTTATAAAATTTATGTGCAGCAACATCAAACTACATAATAGCATCACGGTAGGATGGTAATGTTCATTTAGATAATTTTTGCTGAACATTGACAAAAAAAAGAAGAGAAGAGATTTGCAACAATGGGAAATGAATATAAAGTGCTGACGATGAATAAATTTTAAAATGGGAGACTGACTTAAAAAGGGGACAAATTAATTGATTTCAAAGATATATTTTTTTATACAGACTCTCTTTTATATTTCAAAAGCGCACTTGAGAGCTGATAAGAGGATTGTTCATAGAAAATCTTTCCACTCTTTACATCTATCTCGATTCACAGAAAGGCACACACATGAAGAAGTTTGAGTAAAACCACAACTTTTTAACCACTCGTCCTCAAGTGAAACTCATTACCATATCAATTCATTGATGGATTTTCATTGTAATGGGTAAATATTGTATTCATTTCTGTTACTATTGGAGATGAATGTCTGAAAGCATTCCAATCTGCTGGATGATTAAAAAGCAAGTTATTTGTGATGAAATGATTGAAATGGAACTTATTATTCTCTAAAAAATGTGATATTAGTTAAATTCTTAATGCATTCCACTTCTGAATGAATTGCTTTAGTTTCTATGGAAAAATCTTGGTCGATGATGTTTGAATCAGATTGTAAATTATCATATGAGATCGTTAAGATATTGCTGTTCTAAAGTTTTTCATCATTAAATGGTGATTTTTTGTGGATGTTGAAGTAAATATTTTTGTACAAAACCAAAAAACTACACGATTTTCTATAAATTGTAATGGAATCCTTACAATCAATTATGAACAATTATTTCGTTTATTTAGAAAATGTTAAATCTTAAAATTTAAGAGATAACAACAAGTTCAAAAGTTAATCTTGACAAAATCAAAAGGATCCAATAAAGAATCTTTCGATAAAGATAGAAAAGATTGCAAGTTCGAATCTCATAAAAACCATGTTTTTCATATTTTATAAGTTTTTAAAAATAGTTTTTGAGTTCTCGTTTTCTCTCATGAACATTATAGTGAACCTTATTAATCAAGGTTTGAAAAAAGTTAAAAGAATTCCAACTTTCTTTATATTTCACCCCCAACAATTTAAAAACCATGACAATTGACATTTTTTCCCTTCAAATAATTCTACAAAATTCTATGTTCTTCACATTCCATTCATAAACACATTTTTAATAAACTTCATAAAACGTCAATAGCTCGCATATTTTCCAAAAAAGAAATATTATTAATAAAAATTGATGAAAAAAATATTGTTTTGCGTCTAAGACGAGTAAAAAAAAGATACGTGATTAAATCCCGATATGAGCATCGATGAATAGGCAAATTGATGTCACCATGAGACTTCCGAAAAATTCAAGAGAACAAAAAAATTATTTTGAAGAATTCAATAAGAATGAGTAATGAAAAGAAGCTATGAGTGGAATAGCAATTAGGAAAAAGTTATGAAGTATTTAAAGGAATTCATCAAATAGTTTATTGTTGGTAATTAATATTTAAAAGGTGCTCGAAAGTCACCAATGAGTGTCATTTCCATTAAGTTCTCACTAAATTGAAGGCACAAATTATGATCTACATAAAAACTTATCAAATTCATGACCTCTCCACAAAGCGGCACGAGTAGTAAGACAAAATTAGAGCATCAACATAAATCCTTTGTACGTGCCATGAAAACATTCTTTTTTATACATGAGACGAAAAATAAATTTTTATATTATTTGTAGGAAAAATGGCATCATTACACTTAATATTATTTATGAACTGAAAATTTGTTGCTTTAAGAATCTTTGCAGCTCATTTAATAAATCCAGATCTATCGTTTTTTATGATAGAGTTGGATTTATTTTGATAAGTTAAATTTATTTTTCAAAAATTAAAGCAATTTAAGATTTTAATTGATAGTTTAGGGAGATTTTGTAGCGATTATTTGGATTTTGAATTTTGATATTTTTAATGAATGACTTTTGGATCGTTCAGTAAAATTTTGAATTCAAAAATGGTCAAAAATTTCAAAATTCAACAAAATATGGTGCACTTTAATGTAATTTGAAGACTTATTGATCATATTTGAACATTTTTAAAAAATTTTCATTTCATTTTGAGCTCAAAACTTCACTTTTTGACCATGAAAAATTCAAAATATGTCAAATCTTTTACATTTACTGTTTCCACATCACTAAAATTCATTAAAACCCTTAAAATCCTCTTTTTAATCAAGCTATCACCAAATTAACACAACTGCTTGATAATCATAATATCCAGTTGTTCATCTCATAAAACACTTTATAATTGAGATATCATTTAAGAGTTTCCATCATACTCTTGCATAATTGAACGTTTCCATGGCTGTTAAATGCGATAGCAACTTAATTCTCTCTAATTATGGTACTTTGCATGCAAAATTATATACAACATTTTATTGTACATGGTTATCATTTAACTGAATTGTTTTTAATAGGCTTAAAAATGCTTTTATATCCCACACCCTAAACATATTCCACTCATCTCATGGCGAAGAAATATTTTTTACATGAAGGGAGACAAAAAAGGAAGCTAAAAAATATTTTCATGGAAATTGAATCAATGTAAATGAAGTTATAAATTTTTCCTGTGTTTTCCTACTTCTTCTTCTTTTTTGACGACAATAAAGTCTGATAACATCTATCTAGTGAGCATAAAAGAATGAGGAAGATTTTTTATGGGGTTGTTGTTGCTGTTGTTTATTCATCGGACGCAAGGGATGATTTTTATCTTTTATCAAAGATTTTTTTTTGTTGTTGTTGTGTAGATTGAAATATTGGATGCTTCTGTTGTTCATTAATTTAAGGATGATTAAATATTGGAAATTATAGTGATGGACGTAGATGACTTTGTACTTTTTAATGAATATTATCCTGATTTTATAAGTTGATGAACATTTTTGTTGATTTTAAGAATTTTTAAAAAGATTGAAAAGCAACTTTTTGAAATCATTAGATTCGATGGCGTCTTGAGATCTTCGACCGAATGATCAACTGTTGCGACAGGTTGAATTCTTACTAAATCCGATCTAGATTCTCCATGGAGAATGATTCTAATGTATGAAAATGTAGAAATGAAATCGAATCCCAGAAATAACACGAGCTAAAGTCATATCTTCAACTCTGACTACTTTAATGGATCAAACATGAATTATATCTCATAAATTCAAGCACAAACTCAATAACTTTAATCGAAACTCCCCTCAAAACCTAAAAATAGCTCGTTGACCGACAAACAAAATAGCTAACATTCCATCCCAGCATCATTGTCACTAACCAGACTATTGCTCACTTAATGTACACACAGCACTATCGATTTCAATACTCCGCAACAATTCCAATGTCTTCTTAAAGAATTTTCCTTCAATTTTCTCTTTCATCGTCATCAGATTCGATTTATAAGTCGATGAATCGATTCAACTCATAAAGACTCGATGAAGTGAAAAATATAGAACTTTACTATTAATGCCTTCATGTCGGTTCATTCTTAACATGCCAGTCTCGTTTAGTATGATGGCATTTACGTTCACTTTTGGCCTCGTCTAAATTCATTTAGTCGTCGTCTCATGAGTCATGACTTTAATATCATTTGTTCTATTGAACTGCAATGCAACTTCTTCGCATTTCTTATTCGGAATTATTTGGAGGGAAATCGATCAAATTCAAGTATTTTCATCGACGCGTCTTCGTAGATAATACATGCAAAGAATTGTGAGAATGACGAGAAGGGAAAAAAGGTCCGCGATTTAAAAAAGAATTTTCATCACGTCCTTATATTGGCGTCTTAATGACGGCGAGAAAGTTTTTCTTCTGCATACAATTTGAAGGATGAATGTCTTCATGTTCCTTCAAATTATCGAATTTCTTTGATATACAAAAAAAAATTTGCAATCATCACTTGCCGTACTTATTTTCAATTTTCATCACCCGCCCATGATTTAATTCGACCCCTAGAGAGAAATTTGTTTTGTTGTTCGCAGATTTACTTATTGCTCAGTTAGTTATCAACCGTAATAACATAAATAAGATTGTTATTGTGGTAACAAAAATTGTCAGAAAAGAATTTGATATCCCCAATAGGATTTCTTCAGTAATATCGAATTATGCTTGATGATTTATGCGACTTACATTATTCATCCCTATGAAGGAGGCAACACGACTGAGAATGAGGGTAAGAATTTTATTGTGAATATGAGAATTTGTAAATCCACTTGACGAAATTTTTTGTTTTTATGAAAAATAGTGAATTTTATATTTTTGCATGATTTTGAGTAAGCGGATTGTGTTTCAAGGGCTGATTACTTCTAGATTATTTTATTTTTTTGCTGGAAAAATGAAGATTTAATTATTTTGATGAGCAGCTTAAGATTTTTTGAGGACAATTTTGATCTAAAATACAACAACTAGGTTCAAATGTAAAGTTCTTCAAATGTAAAGTTGTGGATTTAATACCATAAAGTCGTTTAAATGAGAGTTCGAAGCCCAACGTTGAGATCGCTTTGGTTTGCTTAAACCTTGTTTGGAAACTCTTTTGTTGATCAGTTAAAAATGATCTATAGCTGAGTATGGGTAGTCCAAGAATCGCTTAAAAACTCAAGTGAAAGGTTTAAATTGACAAGGTTCAGATAGGTTACAATCCAAAAATTCCAAAATTTTGAGATCTTACAAAGTAGCAAAACCAATTTTAGTCAACCAACTGAGTAGCTAGTAACCTACAATTTTAAGCTCTCTATGTCCAATTATCTCTCGACGTTTTCTAAAGCCTTCAACTCTTTAGTCCACAAAAAAATTAAAACAAAATCAATTACTCACCCGCCAAGAACTCCACCGACTTTATCTTTAAGTCCATCTTTAAAATTGTCTCGAAGTCCATCACGAAATCCATCCATTTTAATAATTCTTTATTATTTTTTTCTGTTCTTGAAAAAAAAATCTTCCAAATTCAAAATTTTCAACCGTTGATTTTTCTCTCCTTCTTCGCGTGAACTGAATAATCGAAACAGAAAGAAAAAGGCAAGCATAAGACATGAAAAGTTATGCACTGGAATTTTTATATTTCGCACACACAAGTTTTTTTTATATTTTTTTATATTCGTAATCCTCATCCACTTACAGTTTTATAATGCTCAGCGTATGAATAGCCTTAAATGATCACTTGAGCATTACACGCGAGAATCTGCACATAGAAATAAAAGTTTTTCCACATTTACAAAAAAAAATATTTTTTTTGAAAAAAGTGAAGAAAAAAATTTTAAAATAAATTTAATAAAAATTAAAATAATAAAAAAAATCACTGCTGACACCCGAAAGTCGAACTATGTCGACACACACGTGGTTGTCAGTTCTGAGTGCACTTGAACAATGAATGTTACTGACAGAAAAAATGTGTATTTCTTCGAAATTTTCGTCTGTAGCAATGCTCACAATTTCCAGCTCGCTTCTGAAAATTGCAAAATTGCTGCCGTCTGGTTAATGCCGTAAGAATTGCTTATACACAAAAGTAAAAAAAGGAAACTAATCAATACAGCTCTATGCGTCTCTTACACATGAAACACACAGGCAGTACGCGATTATCAGCACTCAACGGTCGACTCGTTTCTGATGCTTTTCAATGTGATGCTATGAGAAAAAAAATTTGTGCTCAATTCTTCCATCCTGCTCTGTATCGTTATGTCCTTATCAGTTTCTATGCGACAGCAAGCACTATACTTTGTCTGTTCTAGCACTTTAGCTTATGGAAAATGCTTGACATGCGCAATTCCATCTTCCCACGTTTATGATGAGATGTTGTGGGGTTGGTGTTGTCTTTTGCTACAGTTTCAGTTGCTGAGTTATTATTATATCACTTGGATGTCCCCCCAACTCCACATAGAAGGTGGAGCTTCGGAAATGCTGTTGGCATTTAATAGAAAAAAAAATATGAAAGAGCAAAAATTCTTCTTTTTTGTTAAAATGTTTGTATTAAAATCCCTGGGATAGGAAATTTATAGCGTAAATACGGACGGATGGCTTTAAATGATATTCATAAATAGACATTGAAGCGTGGAATTGATGAAGAGCAGAGAAAAAAATCAAAATCAATAATTTTTGGGGAGAATGTCTCTTACCTTCGCAGTTATTCGCTGTATAAAGTTGTCAAGGTGCCATTTTGAATAAGTATTTTTTTGGCTGTGAAGCAGGTGATGTCTTTTGTATTGGATACTTTGTATTTTTTGGGACATTTCATTTTATTCTTTGTATTTTGTACTCTAAATCATAAATTGAGTTTTTTTATTCGATTTTTCATTGACATCCAGTCGATCTATTTGTTATTTTTATCAATGCCTTCATGAGCTTTAAGCATTTAATATCACGATGAGAATGTCTTGTTATTATGCTAGCACTTTGAATTCATTCTTATTTTTGTAGGCTTAATATTGACATCGATTTTTGATATCATAAAAATTCACACACGAATGCCTGCAGAAATGGATATTTTTACAATACTCCAGACTTTAGTGATGTGAGAATAGCTACAAGCAGTCCTCAAAAATATTTTAAAAGTTTAATAACCTCAAATTTATATAAAACAAAAGTTTCAGATTTGTATGCTCATTATGGAATCACAACAATTTTTGAGTGGGACTCGAATCCAAATCTCGTTCAATTCATGTTCAAATCACTGAGATATTAGCGGATAATCAACTATATTACAGAATGCACCGCTATTATTTATGTTTGACAAATCGCTTAATAATTTTTGATAATTTCTACATTCATATAATCTAAAAGAGATTTTAAAATTGTTTAAACTTTTAAAAAGGCTATGTAGAACCTAGCTATACTCCAAAATCATACGCATTTAAAAATAATTCTAATTTTATCCATTCTTCTTTCAAAAACATTCAAACTACAAAATTAATGAAATTAAATTCTATAAGCCTCTCATTTCCTTATTTTTATCACAAAATCCAATTTTATGTTGAAGGAAATAGGATGTGACAAAAAAAAATTTGCTCTCAACTTGCCACTAATCAGCTTATTCCTTATAATACGAATTTTTGTTGTTAATAGCTTTATCTAAGAGCATTTTATAGATGTGTAGGTGTGGAGCCAAAAAATAAGCTTTAAGATTATGGTATTTTTATGCTTCTGACTATGCTTTTTTAGTTCAACTTCAATATTCTATAAGGCAGTTGTGTGCTTCAATGGGATTTATTAAGTTTCATCGAGAATGATCTGGAAAAATCGAGATATTATTTTTTAAATTTGAATTCAAGATTTTGAACATTTCTAAAGTTGTCATCTCAAAAATAAGGCAAAGGACGTCATTTATTACTGTCTCCATACCCAAAATAAACAATTGAGCTCAATACACAGGTAGAAATTGAAATGAGACACCCATGTTTTTTATGTGAAAGTCTTACAAATGAAAGATTAAGCCTTACTTGTTGTATATCAATGGAAAGGAAAATAACTTAAATACAGGAACAATGTACTGACTGAAAATGTAGCAGTTTAAAGTTATTTACAAAATATGATTTTTGAGGTGGAAATTGAAATGAGACACTTTAGAAAAATTTACAAAAATCTTCCTCAATTTTGACTTTGACTATACATATTGTATATAGACTTGTAGATTTTTACTTTCTTAACAATACTAGAGCATTCTAAATTTTTTTGGAACTTCCAGTCATCTAATATCCTCAAGAGAAAGTAGTAAAAGCCAAGTTTTTTATTTTCATCAAATATTTTTATGAATAATCATCTATTAATAACAAATGAAATCAAAATACGTAGATTTTTAAACGCTCTTTCAGATAAAGAATTGATATTTAGCTCAACATAAGCTTTAATCACAAAAATTAATTAAAATGTATTTCACAAGTGAGTACGAATAGGAAAAAATTAATTTTTCTCTTATTTTGGTCAATCAAAAAAATCTGAAGTTTTCAGGACACTTTCTGCATTGCCTTTACTACAAGTTTTCAATTCCATATATTTTTATCTCCATCCATAAACGCTAGGATTAACATTTAAGTCATGATGAAATCCCAAAATATCAAGTTCCATAAATTTTTCACATTATTAATGCAAAAATTCAAATCGAAAAATTCCGTTAAAATTTTCTTATTTTTGTTATTTATTAATATTTTATGCACATAAAACGTGTGTATATAAAATTTGGAGAATCATGCACTATGTTTAAGATATTATGCTATCAGGATAATTTAATTATACTAGGTTTTAGTGTTTTTGTAACGGTCAAAAGTGTCTCATTTCAATTTCCACCAGTGTATCTGCATATTTTCAAGAACAACTTGACTTTTCTGCTTAAATTTCCAAAAAAACAGCATCAATTGTTCTATTCTGCATTGTATTTATAGCATCAACCTACAACAAGTGCTCCAACATCCAAAGAAGCTCTACAAAAATATTCACAAAATTTACTCGAAATACAAAGAAGATTTTCGCAAAGCTACTCAAAAATTTTGCACATATTTCCACCGATTGCATCGCATGTATGGTTTCAACAGATTTTTATTTCGAATGTAATCTGTAAATTATGCTGTACTGAGTCAATATAGTTAAATCAAATTACATTGAATGAGAAAGTTTCAAATTTTTTGTACGTGTGATGAAGACTTGATTTTATTAGCACTTTTATTGAGAGTTTTCCTAGCTGCAGTGTGAATTTTATAGACAGAAGATGTGTAAGGTGTTTTTCAAAGGTCGTTCAGCTGTGACTTCAGACCCCCACTCCTCAAAATTATGAACATAATAATCAGTTTGGGGCCGTTCACTTATTACGTTCGTATTTTAGGGGGGAGGGGGGTTTGAAAAATTGTAACAAAATGTAACATTGGGGGGGGGGAGGAGGGTGTCAAGAAGTATGTAACGTTCTAAGTGTCTTGTCTTTTAAAAAAAACTACATGAAAATTTTTTTTACAAATTCACATTCAAATTCGTCATGAACGTTCAGGAGGGGGGGGGGTTGTGAGTTTTAACATATTGTAACAAGGGGGGAGGGGGGGGGGGTGAAAAAAGTCGTTTTTTTGCGTAACGTAATAAGTGAACGGGCCCTTTATCAATGATAGGTTTCCATCAGTATTTTATTACTGCTACTTATTTTTAGAATAGCCCACAAAATCATTAATTATCTAGATAATTCAAATTAATCCATTTCAATAAAAGCATAGCTATAATTGGAAAGGTAATGTTAATGCTACACAATCAAATCAAATCAATAAATTCTATATAAAAAGCACGAAAATAAAAGCTTTGCCTGGTTTACTTCTACGATTCTCATAAGAACAAAAAAGGCAATGAAATGCGAACGTCAGATAACCCTAAAATAGATCCATTATGATTTTTTGTTTCTGTTTTTATAAACATAATCGATTTTTTTTGTCGTTGCAGCAATTGAAAGACTAAGACATCAAAATAAACTGCTGTAAGCAAAAAAATCATTATTTTCTTGTGCTTTCAACATCCTTATTTAAATAAGAATGAATTTCAGCAGAGATTCATTGATAATGAGCTTAGGAAGATTATAATAATTAATCATCAAAATGCTCAACCCCAAATTTAAACGTTCTAAAGAATTATCTGAAAAAACGTTAAAAATAACGGTTAAGATAATTTCAAATCTCGTCTAGAAAATAACGACTGAATAATATTTAAATCTCGTCGAAAACGATTTTTTTGGAGCCATTTTGGATATTTCGTCACATATTTCATGAGGATTAAGTTTTAAGCATGAGAAATAATAAATACTGTTTAGAAGTTCTGAATTAAAACAAGATTGATGATTTATTTGATATCGATAGGTGTAATAAAGTTAAAGTTCAGAAAAGAATGTCAAAAATCCTCAATGAATCAAAACGACATCATTTATGGATGACCCAAAGTTTTGCACATTTTGCTAGTAAACAAATGCTTTTAAAAATTTAAATTTCAAGTTTTAACAAAATTAACAAGTTTCCAATAGTCAAAGCGTTTCAAAAGCATATAAAATGTCAAGAGTAACTCGATTAAAGCACGTCCAGAGAGAATTAGATTCTGATGACTTCAGTTTACCGACAGAAAAACAACAAATCTGTAGAATAATAAGTAGTAAAGGAAATAACTTGCATGAAGTTGAATCACCCAATGAAATAGAAGAGAATTACTTAGTGTCAATGCCTCCAAAGTTCAGAAAGAATGTTTGGATTAAAAGAGGTGATTTTGTTTTAGTTGAGCCAATTGAGGAAGGCGATAAAGTCAAGGCTGAAATATGCAGGATCCTTACACCTGAACATCAGAAAGAGTTTGAAAAGGCTTTCGTATGGCCTAAACGATTCACAAAGAAGCGAGATCATGAAAGTGACATTAAAGAAAATTCAGATAGCGATGATGATGATCTGCCACAAAATCCAAACAGACGGCAAAACTATAGAGCAGATACATCCAGTTCCGAAGAAAGTGATCAAGAAGACTGATTATAGTGTAAGATTATTTTTTAATTTTATTTTTCGTTCTTGCAAAAAACTCATAAGCACTGGATTAGATTCGTCCATCCAGAACAGAATTTAAAACTTAACACGATTGCTTGTTCAATAAAAGTGTGTGTAAATACCTAAAATAAAACTAATCATAAAAGTTGAATAAAGTTGTTCGTTCCATTAAAATACTTGGAAAATAGGAAAATTGTTTGATTTTCTATAACAAATTAAATAACATGTTTAAATACAAGCTTTGTTTTACAATCTATGCCTTATGACAAAATAATAATAATTCATGAATGTCATTTATTAAAAATTATTTTGGTAGCTACTTAATCTGGATTTACGGTGGAGTTATAGCTTAATATCATCATTTGTAGTTTTAATAAAAATGTACCTGATCTTCATTTAAGTAGTTTGAAAATGAGGAAAGAATTATTTGCGTAAAGCTATAAGATAGAGAGTCATTTTGAGAGTAAACACTGAAAGCGTGCATGTAACTAGTTTAATCCACACAGTCAGCAATCCTTTTAAGGCTGTATATGAAGAAACAAAATTTTTATCCTAACATTCCATTTTCTTTGGCAAATTCAATTATAATTGAACTAAGCAATTTCTTATTCTTATAAAATCTCCTAATTTGCGCTAGCTTCAATCTCATCACCATTACATTCATTGGCTATTTCAATATCATCTGTTGTTGTTGCCGTATTATTTTGACTACTTTTTGTCGACATTGACGTCTCATTTGATGAGCTATTGTTAATTGGCAAGGATGATGGTCTTTGCATCCTTTGTTGAATCACAAATGGGAAATCTTTATGCTCAATTTGTGGCGTATGAACAGCAATAATTTCAGTTTGTGTCTCGGACGAGTCTTTAAATTGTGACATTGTCATACTACTACTTCCTGCACTTTGCTGCATTTGTGGAAGATTGGCAAATACTGTCATACAGTTCAAAATATCACGCATTGATAATTGTAGTTGTTGTACCTAAAACGAGTTTTAACAGATGTATAAAATTTGAAATTTAACGAATTTCTTGAATTTAAAAGCTCAAGTTCAAAATTTCAAATTTAACAGAATTTTGAGGTTCAAAAATAATTTGTAGCGTATATTATACTCACTTGATTAGTCAGCATTGAGCATGTTTTTGTTAAATCTTGTACAATCGTGGTTGTGTCTCCGCTAGGAATTATTGTGGTCGACTCAGCTGGTCCATGCTCATTTACAGGCTGCATAGACGAAACTTTCTTCCAGAGAGCATTAATCGCCTGCATTTGAAGTTGTTGAATTTTCCTTTCATTTTCCAATGCCTGTTTTGTCATTTCCATATCCTGCGTTAATTTAATAATATAATCATTCGTTCGTTTCTGTTGTAATGACTCAGCAATGTCTTTTAACGTTTGTTTCCTTGTACTATAGCCACGCCATAACTTTTGTATCAATATTGCCGACTTTTCTGCTTCTTTGTTCTCTAAACTTTTCTGTAATTGTTGATGATTCTCAATTTGTTTTTGATTCTTTTGTGCAACCTTCTTAATAGCTTTTAGTTTTTCCATATTCATGTGATCAAGCTCGTCTTCATCTTCATCCTCTGTGGTCACAACGCTCGATTGCGTCGTCATACTTTGCAGTTCAATCGTTGAATGTAAGCTTTGTTGTTGCTGTGAAGTTTTGAGTATCGATTGATTTTGATGAATTTTCGCATTTGCTGTATTTACCAATGATTTTCTTGGACTATTTGAAGGCGATGATTTTTCAGTTTTTCGTGCAATTCGCGAGGTTTTTGTTGTTGATGCTGGACTACTTGATGGTCTCTGTTGACTACTTACTCTTGACGATGTTTTAGCAATACAAACGACTGCTGATGAGCTTGATGTTAAATTTGAAACAGGTCTTTGCTGTTGCTGTTGAATTGTTATTGGTGGACAGTCTGGAGACATGAGAGTCTCAGGAACAGGCATCATTTTAGAAGCAGTAATAAGCGGTCCGGATGTGTGCATTATTGGAATATTTGACTGCTCATTATACAAATTTCCATTATTAATTGGGGACGGATTTAATTCCTTCATAAGCATCGATGCTGTCATTGAACTATTCATTGTTGAATTCAAGCTTGGACTTCCAAGAATTGTCGGATCGAGACTCTGTGTCATTATACTATCCGATGTGAAATTTTCTATTAAAGATTTTGTCATATCAAGTAAATGATTCGGTGACTGATTGTGTGCATCATGATTATTATTATTACTTATTGTTCCATGGAAACTGCTCGACATTACTGCATCTGCTGTTGATGGCCGGTGATGTCCACTCAATCTGCTTACTAAAATGATATTAATTATTTCAACCATTATTTTTAAAATTCAATCAAAAGTATTTCGACCGCTATTTTTCGATTGCTTACCTCTTGGACTTTGGATGCGACTAGTCGTTTTGCGTCTATTAGATGACGGCGAATTATTTGTAGATGAGTTATTTGGTGAACTGGTTGGCGATTCCTCTTGCAATTGTCTCTGATGCTGCTGTGCTTTACTTAATATAAGGCGTAATTTTCTTTCATTCTCATTTTCTAATGTCTCGCCGCTCAACGGACACGTTTGTGACAAATACTGAACTAAAGCTTGATGCTCGCCAATTCTAAATGATCGTCCCTTTCCCTGACTAAACAGCCATTCAGCTCGAAGAGATTCAATCGGATTTACGACATATCCATCAATCACTTTTACACTCATGCACCAATTCAACAGGAATGGCCGATAGTCAAATCCACTGGAATCAAAACTAAATATGATATTATCTTGTCAAAAGAATCTTATCCTTACAAACTAAAGAGTCAGTCAGTAGAGATAATGTCAAATAGGTTGTGCTAATAGACTAGAACTATTGGTACATCCTCAGAAAAAAAAAATCATAAAATTAAAGAATTCTTACATGGAATTTGATCCAATCATCTGAACACATAGATTATCTGCGATTGTGATGCTCGTGAGATTTGCCAGATTCGATAGAGCAGAAATCTCATTTAAATCTGCGATATTATTTTTGTTCAATGTCAATATCTCGAGCGATGTTGGGAGATATTTTTCACATTGTCGTAGATGCGATATACGATTTGAGTGTAAATAAAGTTCCTAAATACGCGACGCAGACGAGAAAGAAAAAGAAAATAGTAAATAATATATTTCGTCAACTTCTGATCTTTGCTTTCAAGGAATTCTGTTTAGAAAAACACATAAATTAATTAGAGAAAAGCGTGGTCTGACTAAAGCGCATCGTTCATGCACAATAAAATTTTTTAATAAAATTAAGTTGCAAAGTAAGAATTTTAAAAAATAACAGTCAAAAAATATTTAAAAATTGAGGTTCAAAAATTCTGGATTTTTTTATAAATAACGGTTGAATTTGAGCTTTGCTGAGTTTGAAAGACTCTTTGACAATTGCTGAGTGATTTCAGCTAGTTAAGCAGTCATTAGACAAACAAACAGTACAGACAAAATGCGAGTAGGAATTAATGTAAAGAAAATGCACTAAAACTGAACACAGAGAGGCATGCAAACGTATAAAAAGGTCAATGAGATATTACTAATAGGAACTATGCTACAGATTATGAATGTTTCTACAGGATTTTTAATGATGAAATTTGATGAGCTTACTTTTAACTGTTTAAGAAATGAAATATCAGAAACAATTCCAATACTATTCTCTCCTAAATTGAGATATTCTAACTTTAAATTCGTATTTAAATGCTCTATCGTCTTTATAGAATTTCCTTCTAAATTCAAATGCGTCAAATGAAGACATTCTTTTAATGCCTCAATCGTTAATATACCATTGTAACTGAGATTCAGCTCGCGTAAATTGTGTAACCTGCTAACGCCATACATTCGCAATAGCTGATTATGCTTAAGAGATAGCTGAAAAGAAAGTGTGTGTGTGAAATTATGAATTAATCACTATTCTTATTGATTTTTTTTAGTGTGTATGCTTGCTCACCTTCTCGATACGCAGATAGGAATCAATGTTGTCGACTTTCTGCAACTCATTCTCATCAAGTATCAGGCATTTTATTGATTGCGAATCTTCTGTTTTTGGAATCTTCTTTAGACCTTTTTTTGTCAAATCAAGTACACCTAGATGGAACGAGAAATGGGAGCAATTGCATCAGATTCAAGTGCATATACATTTCAAGGACGCATTTTAAGCAAACAATGTGTACGAGACACAGATTTTTGGTTCTTTATTGTGCATCACTAAAACTATTTTTTTTTTCAACATCCAAACTGGCTGAAAAGCTAATCAACCGTGACGAATTTGATGAATTCCTTAATAAACTAATTGAATAGATTACAAAAATCGTTTATATAATTAATATTACTTACTCATTTCACTGTTTTTAAGCTCACTATAAAAATTTTCAGAAAGTGATTTTTTTGGCGAGTTATGAACTTTTAAATTTTCTTCCTTCGGAGTTTGCGCAGATCGTATCATGTCTCGAACGTGTTTATTATCTGTCGCACGCAAAATGAGTAAAAAGATTTGTGCAAAAAACCACTGTTTGAGTTGTAAAATCAATTTTTAATTATCGTAAACAAAATACTTAAGAAACTCAACAACGATTTTTTATCTCATTCTTCACTATTAAATGCTATATTTACGTTCACTTTTGTTGGCTGGATAGAATGTTCCCCTCTTCATACTTTCTACACTATTTGATCTATTATTACCACTGTAATAATGAATTTTTGATAAATTCAATTTTTTTTCACGCAGTTTTCTTTATTCTTAAACCGTTAAAATTCTGAACTTCTGATTTTGAAATTTTGAACTTGAGATGTTTAAATTTCAAATTTTCATAAACTGTTAAAATTTCAATTTTAAAAACCTTTAATTAAAATTACTACAAATTTAATTGTGCGTTAATTAAAATTGCAATAATGAATTGTGCGTTATAGTCATCAGCAGCTAAACAGAACACATGATACTTCCTATTTGTTGTGGTAAACAAACGTTTCATTCCCCCTGATATTTCCCGCCAGAATAAAGAGTGTGAATATTTAATCTCTCAAAAAGTTGCAACAAGCAAAGTTAAATTATTTAAATGGAAAAAGGTGGTGAACAGAAGTTGATGAATGCAGCATTGATGCGCAAATATCTGAACCGTCCAGGAAGATTGTTTGTTAAGATATTCGACACATCTAGTGGTGGAAAACAGGTGAATTAAAATAATTACTCAATTTGCGAAATACATAGTCTTATTAATGTTTGTAGATCCAAGGAATGTCAACAGATAAGCAAAGAATCACTGTAGAATTGGATACTCCTCTTGATCAGCCATTGCAAGGCTGGATTGAAGTCGTTGGAATGGCAACAAGCAGTAATGTCTTTAGGGCTTATGAGGTACTTACTGGATGTTACTAATGATGCCTATTTATAATCATTAACATTGTAAATTGCATTCCAGATAATCTGTTTCGAGCAAAACGAGAACCAGGAACCGTTTGATGAGGAATCGCACAATGAAATATGCCAAATTTTTGACCTTTTGCGTGATGGAGATTTATACAAGTTCAAGAATTAGATTGATAAGTAAATCATGTCTTTATTAATAAGTTTATAAAATATTTCCTTCAAATACATCTCATACTTTTTTAACAACTGGAACTTTTTGGAATGCTTTTTTGAAGTTTTTGGATATATAGTGCTGCTTATCGATATTTGAGTCACACATAATGTTCATCCTTACATTCTGCTTAAATCTTTGGATTGTTATATTTGTTGAATTATTTGATTGTGGCGTTCTAAAGAAGATTACATCCTCAATATCTCCTTCATAGCATGTAATCATTTTTGATGGCTCATATTCGTTAATTCCCATACATAATGTGACTGAAATCGCGAACTTCTTCGACAAATAGTTGATTAAAAGTTTCAAGTACATTGATGGAATTACAGTTGTAAGGAAGTCGAATCTAATTTGAATCAAGCTTAATAAATAAATCATAACTTGATGCTTCCTCGTTTCTATCAATTGATCGCGTATATCAGCAAATTGTGAAAATGAAGGTTCATTAACTGGAAGTTTAAATCCAATAACACCGTTCCTTAAACAACTGACACCATAAAGGTATGAAAACGGAACTGATCGGAAGTTAACTCTAATATATGGAGGAATTTTAACCGATTGCCCTTCTTCCTTTATTTGCTCAAAAAAATCCAATAAGCATGACGAAATTGTTGAGAACATAACTTCTGAGTATGACTGCCTGTTTTTCTTAGCTTTAGCATGTAGTCGTTCAACTGGAATTGTGTCGGACCAAGACACAAGTTTCCTTCCACAAAGTGCTGGATTTAAGTAATGTCCATCATCGTTAATGCTCGAAAACAGTTCCTCAATCAGCATTCTTGGTGCTGTAAAGCATATGCTCGCAAAATAAAGGCATTCCTTAAATGATTTGAATGACAATGGGATGTACTTCAAGAAAAACCCAATATAAGAATTTGAATTGATTTCCTCATTCAGGAACAAATAGCGTCTTAAGGCATTTAATTCTCGCAGGATGTAGAATGGCGATAAGAAAATCCAGATGCAAATCGTCCTCAAAATAAACAATCCAGTGCTCTTAGCGACATTTACTGGATTTAGTGCCTTTAAAATCAAATTTACAACAAGCTTAAAAGTTAATTGTCTTCTCTCGCATTCTGTAGATATCAAGTCACTTAAAAATCTTAAATGCAACTGTGGATCAGTACTTCCTTTTAGAATTTTCGAACTCTTTCTGTTATAGTCAATATAGGTGTTGAATATAGTCATAACAATTGATGAGACTAAGTCATACAGATTTTGAGGACATTTAGCAAATCCATCATGATGATCAAGTGAGTCATGCTTCATAACAAATTCATTCCAACGAGAAATTGTTGCATCTGTTATATCCTCATAGATAGTCCTTAATCCAACAGCTGGTCTGATTATCTTCTCTAAAGGCGTGTATGCTAGATATTTATCCTCTTTTGGAATCGAATATTCTATTTTCATGCCTCTAGATCTATCAAGTAGCATCATATCACCAAGCTTTAAATTTCTTTGTTCGTCCAAAATCAAATGATGAATCCTTATCATTAAATAGTAAGCACTGTCGTCACTCATTGGGATCACCTTTATTTGCCAAGGTGGATATTCTGAATTCATGTATTTTGATACAATTAAACTCATACATTTTTGGATATTGCTGTCATCAATTGGATTTCCTTTATAGTCAGTCGGTCCCATTAAAATGTGGTTTTCAATGAAGAAGTTGCTACAAAGAAATTTGTCGGTTAATATATTTTTAAAAAATAACGATCGAAAAATATTTGAAAGAATAACGTTCAAAACCATACAATTCTTTTCCAAGCTTCATTCAGAACCATACAATTTCTATCCAAGATACATTTAGAACCATTCAAATGTTTTCTAATTCAAAATTTTTTTAACGTCCATCAACTTACTCAAAGTTCTTAATAAATGCGTAATTTCCCCAGCATGATATCAAAATTGTCTTCAATCTGGGATACAAAAACTTTCCATTCTTATCCCTTTTATCCAACAAATGCTTCTGATAAGCACTGCGTATTTCTTCAATGTCACATTTTCCTTTAATCTTTACAATAAAATGAAGTATGCCATTATTGTGAGAAGTATCTACAAGAGTTCGAATCGTATTACTTCTAGCAAAGTCGAGGTAACGAAATCTTTTCGTTAATATAAACAATCGGAGCTTATGATAGATTGTTACAACTGGAAATGAATAATTTATTGATAATGAGAGATTAATATACATTTTTAAAGCGGTTCCGCTTTTCAAAAAAAAAATTAAATTTACCAATAAATGCTGTAAAGAAGAATGGAACAAGTAGAACAAACACGAGAAAGTATAGAGCCGTTTTGATCGAACTGATCAAAGGATTTTCCTGAATTTTAATTTTTCTTGCCTTCATGCTATCAATTTTTTAAGTCTTTACTACACAAAAGTTCGAATGAGACTGATGAGTATTATCAGCACAGACGAGAGAAAGTACCTCATGCTGTAAACGAAATAATATTGATAAGAGAAGCTGAGTCAAGCCCCTTTTGAGAACAGAATTGATTATATTATTGACAAATACTTAGAAGATTTATGGCCTATTTAGTCATTCATTTATTTATTGTTATCAGCTTTTGTATACAAAATATATGTCATCTTTAGAACAAGAATGTATGCAGAAACTTTTTGGAAAGAGCACAGATTTTGTATGCAATTAAGGAGATTTAAGAAACTAAATAACGGTAATGAAAATTTTCAAAAATTAACAGTCATAAATTTATTAAAAAAATTAAAACCACATAATTTCAAATCAAAACCATACAAAAGCAGCTCAAAACCCTTCAAATTCAAGGTAACACATCAGATTCATCTTCCTTAATTCCAAACATTCCTTCCATTAAAAATCCATACCTTAATGCCTCAACTGAACTAGGGACATTTTGTGGAATCGGAATTGGATCGCCTTCAGCTTGATAAACATAAGGAAGTCTTAGTACCCAATATGCTGATTGTGTTAATTTTACAGGCTCTTTCCAGCCAGTTACGAAAATATTTTCAGTTTCTCTACGAATCTTAATTTTTGGATCTAAAGTGATGTTTACTGGTGCTTTTGGAGTAACAACATGAATTCTTATAAGCTGACCAATTTGTCTGCATGGACATAGGAAATACAGTGGCATATTTGCTAAAACAACTTTACTTCCACATGCTTTAGATCCACCACCACTAGCTCCACGTAAAACAGTATGATTTGAGTCCATTGTAAATCTGTGCCTTGCAAAACATTCATATTCCATTCCAATAAAGATTTTAAGTGTGAAAAATGTTCCTGATGAGTTTTGGGTCGTCAATTGCTTCTGTTTCTTTCTACTTCTATTTTTCTCATAATTTTCAGCCCAAGTTTGTGCATGCTCAAGTCTAACTTTAACATCCCATGCTAATAGAAATTGACTTCCACTTAAAAAGCCTGGCTGTTGACTTTCAGTTAATCCTGTATTATGGCTATAAAGTGATGAAGCACCAATACACATTAAGCTCCAACTTGGGAATTGTGGCAGTAATCCTTGAGGTGAATTGGCTAAAATCATACCTGGAAGATATTCAGTTGTTGATGCTTCTGTTTGCTTCTCTTTTACATCGATTTCACCAATTTTGACAATTATTTCATTCATTTCGTCATCAGAATCGTCTTGGTGCTTCTTTTTATCCTTGATTCCCAGCTCATCATCTGAAATCGAGCCAATACTTAAATCTGATTCAGATTCTTGTGTCTTTTGACTAGCTGACAAGTGATGCTGATCACTGTTTTTCTCTTCCTCATTTGGTGTCTTGTTTGAGAATTCTGATAGAATTAAATTCATGATATTCTTATTGCTCACTTGTGCTGCTTTATATTCAGATGATGATGGTATGAAAATTGGAAAATCAATAATTGATGCCTTTTCACAGACACTACAACTTTGTTGCATAATTTGATAAAATTCATAATTTGCTTTCTTAAGCGTGTATGGATCTTCTCGTCTGCCTTGTGTCTTTCCACAATTACAGGTGCTGATATAAACAACTCCACTTGAATGATTAGTTCCTTCATTTGATGCATGTTTTGTTAATAAAATGCATGGATTTCCACGAAGGCTTAAAAGTTCACATTGTTGCTTTCCATTTAACCATATTGCTTCACATGTATCTCTAAGTTTATCTTCTAAACTTTCACTTTCAGTTCCTCGTGCATATTTATGAAATATTTCCAATGCACTTGCCAATTTACTTTCATGGTATGATTTACTGTAATGATGTGGAAGCAATTCTGAATAATTGAGGAGTGCCAAGTCGTAGCCATGTGTACATGAATCGTAGAAAAATTGTTGGTCAATATCCAATATTTTATAGAAATTGTCCAAATAAGCTTTATAGTCTGGATCATTAGCTTCGAAATTCGGATTATTTGCATTTTCTATAAATATTTTGTGCATAAACTTGAAGATCTCGTACCACATTTTCATTCCTGGACGCACAAAGTGTGTCTTGCCTCGATATTTTGCAATGCTGTTTTGAGATAATGAAAAAAAAACGTTTAAAAAATGAAAACCGTACAAATTATTTTAAAATATAAACATTTGTGTGGTTTTAGCAAAGACACAAACCCAAACTCACCTATCATCAAATCCAGTGCTCATAGCTTCCTCAATATGCTCATTTAATAATTTTAAAAAGCTCTTCTGCTTTTCCTCATAATCTTTTGTCTTTGTGTCCTGGAAATAATTGGTTGCATATCCTCGATATGGACGAATTGAGTAAAGTTCTTCCTCAGTTTCAGGTGTAGCATTAATATATTGAAGTAGAAACTCCACAGAATCTACAACTGGATCTGAATGGATCTTATCATTTGTATTGATGTAAAGGAATTTTTTATTCTTATTTTTTGGAACGGAAAACAGCGATAAATTGGAATTATTGGTGATGATAAAATTCGATCGAAGCATTTGATATATTTGCTCTTCCTTTTCAATTTCATAAGATATCAAGTTATCGACTGGTCTGGATATTTTCTCAAAAAAGAATATGAATCTTGGGGAGCATAATCGATATTCTCTAGCTATTGCACCACTAATGTTCGTATTTTTCAACAGTTTTGGTAAGAATTTAAGCACATATTTCTCCCTGATTATTTTCAATGCCTTAAAAATCGACAAATATGAAGCATCAAATTCACTGGAAGTTTCAACAAACACGACAATGTGACAAATTTGAGTAGCAAAAAAGATCATCCTTGCAAATCTCGTTCTCATTTGTGTATTAAATGGAAGAAAGTAATCAAAGTCTGCCTTCTTTATCAAATCATTTGCTATATGATGGTCATAAGCAGTCTCGAAATGCAAAAAGATGTAATTGCTGCCTGTTTCATAGTAAAATTTAATTCTATTCTCAGCTCTTTCTGGACCGTCTTCTTGTAGAAATATTGAATGACAACTGAATAGATCAAAGCAGAGCATCTTATTGCAATTAGGTAAATTTGATTTACCAATCACACCGACTATAATTAATGTTTTTTCGGCATCGTTAAAAAGTTCTCTGTTAAATTACATGAAATATGCATTATTAATCACTGGATTGCGGTATTTTAAGACATCAACTTACGTGAATTCTGGTGACAGTTCGGGATAGTTGCATGATATGATCTTATCCATGTTAAAACCACTATAATTAATCAAAAACACAAATTTAATTTCAAATTTTTAAATGTAAACAAAGGGACTGTAACTTCTCAAAATAAAAGTCCTTAACTTAACTGTTAAGTAAAATTTGAAATTATTCCAGTTGCGAGAAATTTATTATTTTTAAATAATTATTGGGAAAAGGATACTCATTAGTTTGAGCCAAGTACATTGTTTCCATGAATTTTATTAGACTTTAGTAATCGAATTAAATTTGGTTAAATTGGTACAATATCAATAATTAATAACTGTTATTTTTCATTATATCCTCCCATCGATCAGGAACTGCTAGAAAATATCGATCCATCGCTTCAATAAATCTACTTTTATAAACATTCGGCGACACTATTGTTGGTAATTTTGTTTGATCCACAACTTGCTTAAAGTACGATTCAATTCTTTTATCAAGAGTAAATTTTCGAATGTAGTCAATGATTCCAACTATCAGGTTGTTGCTCTCATCCAATCCAACTAGTAACGAATAATCCATAACATGGTTCTTTTCAAGGAAACTCGAGTCACGGCAAATTGCATCACGCAAAATTGAACGAGAATGTGTCAGAATGTACAGTGGCTTTGACCAGGAAGCTGTGAAAAAGATACCCGTCAAATAATATTCATAATAGAGCACAATTTTTGAAAAAATAAAGTACGTTAAAACCTCAAAATATTTTTATCAGTGTTCTACTCACATTTGATAAGGTTCTCGTCAAGCAAGACAGTTTCTCCAATCTGTACAGTCGGATCAACCAATCGATTTCGTTCAGATCCCTTCAAGTCATACTTATTTGCTATTATTCTATCACAAAACAGATTCTCAATCACCAAAACAGCTTTCTCGCTCACAGATTCCTTTTTCTTAATAATTACTTTGTAGATTCCAAAAATTTTAGCTAATAAAGTCGGCGAATTCTTCTGAATACATCCATTAATGTACTCAAAATAATTTGGTGCGAATTTTTCAAACTCTCCAATGTCTTGCTTAGACATTTCCTTTAAAACAAAACGATCATCAAAAGTTTTGCTGAATTTAGATCCACTTTTTCCACCACGTGCTTCCCATCGCATACTCTGACTTAATGATCGAGCATAGCTCTTTCTTATTTCATCATTCATTGCTGATTCGTCGCTACATTGTGTTTTGTTTGGAACCACAAAGCATTTGTTCCTTAAATCATCAAATTCCTTTGCAAAATAACTTTTGCATGTAAATTGAGTAGTTGAATCTTGGAATTGAATCTCAATGTGGCTATTATTATTCTTCTTGTTCTTATCATTTGATTCCTTGCTTGTTGTTCCATCCTTTTCATCTATTTCTATTGAACTGTCACTTGGATTTTTCCTTTTTAAATTAGGACTGCTATTTCCAACAAACTCAGTTGACGCAAGCATGTAGTTTTCAAGCAATTTCTTGTAGTCATAAGACATTAGGCTGAATGATATTATTGAGCTCAAATCTTGGTCATGTACAAGAATTGGAAACTGACCAATTTGTAAGCAATAATGCTCATTGACTGTAAATGGTGTTTGAAGTGGATTTTGATCGGAGCTAGATGGGAGAATTGTGCTTAATAGTTTCCGGATTGTTTTCTTATCAATTTTATCCTTCTTTTCGTTTTGTAGCTCATCAATCGACCGACTCATTATGCCTTAATGGATTACAATAAATAACGGTTAAGAAATATTTGGATAATAGCGTCCAAAAAATATTTGAATAGTCAAGTTCAAAATGGTTCAAATTTTTTTCAAAAAACCGCCACTTCTTGCAATAACTAAAATTAGCTTAATTAACTCACCTTCACTTGTATCAAATTCCAAATCATCACTGCTAAATGCTGAATCATCAATATCATCTGGAACCTCTGAATTTTGTAGAGTTAATTCATTTTTCTGAGCATTTTTAAGCTGACTTGCTGCCTCATTTAATCTTGGTCCCCACAATTCTATACTATCTGCAAGTTCCTTGTGCATCATATAAATAGCATCATTAATTTCATGCTCATAGACTTCATTTGACCCTAATAGAAGATTGACAACATCAACACGATGTTTAAAGAATAAACGATCTCGATGAAGTCCCTTCTTTAAATCTTCCAGCATTGGCGTTTTTACTTCCGTTGATAAATTTGCTAATTTCTCGTGGATCTTTGCGTAGACTTCATATCCTTTAACTGAGAACTGCTTAATTTTATCAGTAAAAGATTTTTTGTCAATTATTTCAGGACATTTTAGAGGAAGTGACAAAAGTGGAAGTTTAATTTCCCAAATTTCAATTGGCGTGTACATAAAGCTGACAATAACTCCATTATTTGCAAAGTACTGAATATGATCATGATACAGTGAATGACAGCATGCTGGCATAACATTTGTATCATCTTGATCGATATTTCGGCGTGTATAGAAATTTCCATGAAATTTTAGTTCCAAAAATTTAGCAAACGATAAGCACCAAGTGTCTGAAGACATAGGAACACTTTGAGTCATTATATTACAAATTGTACATCGAGAAGTCATTAAAATACTTGAAGATTCACTCTTATTATGATCAACATCCAGTTTGACTTGAACGACGCCATTTGAATGTGCATATCTCCTGACATGATCCATCATTGGAAGTTTACATGACTGACAAATGTAGGAATTACGGAAGCAGTAACGTTCGAGGAATAATCCAAGCATAATATCATCTTGTCCATAAAAATGCATGTCCAGTAATAAAGGTTGAGCACAAAAGGATGTTGGTAGTTCCTTATTACTATTTAAATAGAAGCTACAGAATAAAACTGGAAGTCTTTGATGATTGTAAATGTCAAATGCATCTTTTAAATGATCAGAAAATGATTTTTGACGTGAAATATGCTTAGAACTTTCTGGTTTCTTCTCAATAATCTTAATTCGAGCGACTTTCTGATATGTAAAGCCACTTCTTCGGAAGTCAGCAAGTGCAGTTTGAACATCCTTATCATCTGCAGGCTTTGTGATTTTCATTGTTAAGAATTTATGTGGAGGTTTGAGATTAATTGGTTCCTCATCGTTTTTAGCACTCAAATTAATTTCCGTTTTATCAATTTTCTCACTTTTATTGCCTGCCCACTGCTTGGAATAGAATAGCTCATTTGGAAAGTACTTCCTTAAATCACATCTCCTTCCAGTTTCACTTTCTAAGTATGGCAATGGAAAATTAATAAATGGACTTATTGACAATATTGTTGATGCTAAGGATGTCCTGAATTTATTATCAAATGAGTCCTGGACTTGTAGCTCAACATATTCTACAACATTGGTATCAAAAGTCTGTGGATCAGCTCTTAATGGATCTGAAAAGTCAGCAACATTCTTTCTTGAAATTTCACTTTTTGATGTTTCTGAAATTTCAGATATAGAATGAATAAGAACTTTCTGTTCTGCTGGACTTTGATCAATGGAATCGAATATGCTAGACTTTTTCAAAGGCGGCTGTGCAAAGCTATCCAACAAGAAAGACAGTTCTAATCGCCAATTGTATCTTGAAAAAAGTAAGAAACTCGAAACTTTCTTCAATCGCACTAATTCATCTTCAGTTCCGCCACGTAACAATAAGGAACATCCACGTTGACTATATGGAATGTCAAAGAACATAAGACTCTTAGCAGTTCCATTAGATTCGATGAAATTCTTGACATAAAATCTTTTACAAGTTCCAAGCTTAGGTTTTCCAATATTTGAGTCAATTGAAGTCACAATGTCACATTGCATGCATCTTGCAAGCCTCTCAAAGACTGACAGTTTAACATCCAAAACCAAAGTGATTCCATTATCACGTAGTAAATCTTGTGCGATCCCAGCTACATTTTTATGGACCAAAACCACGTCTGGATTTAAGGATAAAATACGAGATGTGACGTTCCTCAAATATTCCTTTTCCTGGAGAATTAATGACTCAATTGTGACAAATTTCCCTTCTACACGCTGATAAGCAATTGGACATTGAAGCAAAAGTACTTTTGGATTATCAATTTTAATTTTCATATCTTTATGCGCGACATTCTTACTAAATACAACACCACCAATTATTGTTGAATCATTTCTAGTTCCACCAGATATTTTCTTAATATTAACAAAGTTACGGACATCCATAGAATCAAGAGTACGATTCGAAAATTCAGGATGAATTGTATGAGCTATTCTGGCACATTGAGTAATTAATACTTTTGACCATGATAAATCTAAATTTTCATTACGTAGTAATTGCTGAAAAAGACGCTCCTCATGCTCAAAATAAGCTTCAAGTAAGGGCTTTGAACCAACAGTTAATAATAATGAATTTTGGAGCTCATTTTCCTTACTATTCTCATTAACATACATACTTGGTGGAATTATGTCATCAATTATTGATTCATCATATAAAGAATCTGTACATGCTGCATCAGTTACGTTATTTTCTTCCATTTCAATCTCATCCAATTTTTGAAGTTTATAGAATAAATTCTCATTAAAATCAACATGAAAAGTGTCGCTACTTGTTGCTTCATTGCTGTTTTCATACACCAATAATGGAACCATAAAACCAGCTTCAATCATAGCATTAATAACGGCAACAGCTTGTTGTTTATTTGATGATTTTTGATTAGATATTAGAAAGTTAATTAAATCAATTCCTTTATGCTGTTGAGTTGTGGATAATAAGGAATTTATCATGTCCTCATAAAGTGATTTTAACGTATTTGACTGTTGTAAAATTGTCTTTCTGTCTGCATTACTCAAAGCACTAGTATTCGTTACTAATCTCTCTTCTTGATATCCAACAGAAACCTTTCGATGACTTGGACTTGTTTCAGTTGAACTGCTTTGATTAGAACTGCTGCTCATTGATCCAACAAACTTATTGGAAAGATCTTCTTCCAAAGCTTGAAGATCCGATTTTAAATCAGCATTGATGTCAGGTGATTTTATGTATGATAAGACAACTTTAGAGCAGTACGTACAAACACGAAGATCGCCAGAACATTTTATTATTTTGCCTGGTATTATTTGGTTGCAACATTTCGAACAAAATATTTGCCCACATAATCGACCTTCGAGAAACAAAAAAAAAAACAAAGGAAAGCATTAGAAATCAACGTAATGTAAATATAGTTTTCAATTTCTGTCTGTTTTTAAAAATTATAAATCACCCCCAAAAAATATTTGAAAAATTAACGGGTATAAAATATTTGAAGTTATTTAACCAAGACACATTTTAAAATATAAATCAAGATTGACGGTTAATATTCTAGCAGAACTTACAGTGATGTTTTCGCCTGAATGTTGTAAATTTCAAGGCACAGTCATAGCATTCGCGCGATTTATCGTCAGGCATCCACAATCTTTTTAATTCCGTATTTTTGTAGTCGTTGAGGTCTTTATCTCTTAGTGCAATCAAATTACTTATTCGCTTGATTACATTTAATGATGTTCGGCCTTGCGAAGTGTCAACTTGATAGACTGTGGGCGTTTGTTGCTCTTTTTTCTGCTCTAATGTAGTGCTGCTTGATAAACTTGATGGATTTGATGCCGATGATGAGGTTTCACTATTATCGTCTTCATTTTGAGCTTGCTGTTGTGTAGAAGCACCACCAATGTCAGCATTTACATTATTACATGCCTCATAAATTTTATTAACCAACTTTGATATTACTGTTTCTGTCTGATCTTCCTCAAAATTTCTAGCAAACTCTGTTAGCACTGATATATTATGCAAATTTTTGTTCACATTCATAGTCTTTGTAATATTTTTAAATTATTTACAGTCCACTGTTTTCGCACTTATAGTTCAATTGTACTTAATTTTTTAATTAACATTAATTAAATCACTTTAAAGGTAAGCAATTTAAGAGAAAGTTTTTCGTTTCGAAAAACCTTTTATGAATTGCTAATATTTAATGTATCATCTGAATGACGAGTCATGATTGCTAGGTCCAACCACTTGTCTTCCTGTATAAATAAACATGAGATCATCAAACTGTGCGTACCAACTTTACAGCATTAATTACTTACAACTTCTTTCATTGTTTGATGTTCACAATCTTCTGGATCTGGCAATTTATCTAATGGCAACAAAATATCCTCATTTGGAAGTTTATCGTTGCGCCAATCAATATCGATTAAATCTATTAATGCTTCATCAGTCATTGGCTGGAAATAATGATGTAAATTAAACATTTGTTGGATTTTTATGAAATATTTTTTTGTAAACATTTAATTCACAATTCACTGCTATTTACCTGATTATCCATAGCTTTATTTCATTAATTTCCAATGTAATGTTTCCTATAGAATCAATAAGAACTAGCTTTGATGCCCGATTCTTGCGCTAATTAAGGAAAACTTAAAAAACTTTTTTTGTTTTGATTTTGAAAAATACAAAATTGTATTGAAATATAATCGAAGTATACGACCCCTGTAATTTTTGAATATAAATATTTTATTTCCGTTAAGGAACGACTTTTTCACAAATTTACCTCAAATCAGCTTATTTATAGTAACAGCAGCAATGTATACATACAAAAGTCATCATGAATCATCAACGCGTGCATTCGATCACTTGTATGATCCAAATTTCATCAGTAATAAAGTGAAAATTCATCATATGAACTGCAAATCAATTTCTGATACAGCACCGATGCATATTATTCCATCTTTCTACAGCATGTTCTCGGAAATACGAAGAAACAAATTTTATTTTGCCCAACGCAATGGATTACCTTATGATTCCAATGATTGCTGTCCTAAAATTGTCAATAAAAAGTCTGTAAATTACAATTCATACTCGATACCATCAAACGTTCAGCATGAAGAGAATTTTTATCGTTTTGAGCCTAAAAATGTGTTTGAACAAATAACTATGAAGAATAAAGTATCTCAAACGATGTATCGAGAAGTTGAAATGCAAACGGAAGCTTATTTACCCCAACCAAAATTAAGAATTGGTGAAACAAAACTTCCAGAAATTCTGTATGTTAAATGCGACGAGAAACCAGATCTAGAAGACATTAAAAAGATAGAAAGGGATGTCATTAGAAGAAAATGGGAAGATGATTTGAGGCAATTGCCAATGAGTCTTGGAAATAAAGTAAAGCAGATGGAGGTTTTTGAAATGCAAGATCAATTACTGCGTGAAAAAGAGCTGAATGAGATCCAGGAAAAAAGAATGGATTACGTTCTTAGTACAATAAATGATAGAGAAGAAGCCACGAAACTAAAATGCAGAGAAAAGCTCCTTACTGTCTATAAAACAGCTTCAGAAATTAACATTAAGGAACGTGCAAAATTTGAGGTTAAAAATGAACGGAAATTGAGGCAGCTCTCAAAGATCAATAGCCAAACCAAGTATTATAAACCAAATATGCTAAAAACATCAAAATCAATTGACTTTGGACGATTTAATCTTTATGACTGCTCCAATTATTCCAAAATCGACTATAACTCAAATAGAAATAGGGATGCACTTTGGATACCCAAACAAAAAGTGAAGGTTGTCAGGCATTGCATGAATAAGGAAGAAACAAGGAATAATCTCTATAATGAAATAAAGAAGCACAATAAAGAATTTGATAAAAATGTTGAGTACCAATTCCGTCGTCCAAAATGTCAGGAAATTAATCCAGTTGACGTGGTTTATGAATGTGGTGGGGATCAGGTGGATATACCACTAGATGTTATTCTAATCCAGAAGACAATTAAAGGAATAGACGCTCAAAAATCATTGAAATCAGGAAAGAAAGATAAAATGACAGATATTCATAGCTTCCGAAAGTTATATCCACTAAGATGTGTCATAGAAGTATTCGATGGAGAGAATTTCATACCATTTGAGAACAAATCGCAATCTCAAAGTGATTCATGCTGCAGTAAGGATATAATCATAAATGATATCAAAGAAATAAATGTCCTAGAAGACGAAGAATCATCGAAAGATTCAAAAATGAATGACGAACTTAAAAGTGCAGTCACTGAAGTGCTACAACAAGCTCTGCTTATAGCACAAGATACAATCAATCGTAAGATTCTCAGAGAAGCCAATGAGCAAAGATTGAGACGAGAGGAATTGGCACAAATTGAAGCTTTAAAGCAGAAACTCATTAAAATGCGACAAGAACTGACTGAACGAAAAACTGACAAATTTTTTAAAGATTTAACAGCTGAAGTTATTGAAATGGTCATTCCATTAGTTATTGAGGATATATCCGAAAAAGAGGCACTAGAGTTTATAATGAAGAAAGCCACTGAAGTTAGTGCTGATACATTTAATAGAAATATCACGAACAAGGCAAAAATCAAGAAGTTCATAAAGGAGATCTTAATACCCCATATTGAAGCAAAGTCAGATCGAAGTGATGAGCATTTAATAGCTTTGTTTGGCAGTTATGATGCGTTTAATTGTTTCATTGACAAATGTTTTTCAACAGATCAATAAATAATTCATTAAACTTGTTGTAAATTAAAACGTAAGCAGTTAACGATCTGATAAGGAATAAAATCTGTAGTGGGAAATATCAGACAATCAGGCTAGAATTCTGGTATTCATATTTAGTAAACTCAGCGAAATGTTTTAAAAATTGTTTACGTGTATTCGACAAATTGATTACGTCATTGGGGGTGCTTCTTAGTCTGACATTGGAAAACAATAACGAGAAAACTTATTTGGAAATAAAGTTTTATGAGGAAATGCGATTTTCTTGGCATTAAGTTGAAGAGTTTAAAAATCAAACGACTACAATTTTAATTTTTTATAGAATCCTTAATCCTTAAGCTTATTTTTAATCCATACATCTATAATTTGCACACAAATCGGAAACAACAACGAGTAAATTCCGACGAAGAAAAATCGCGCGAGATCAAGTAAATAAGTAATCAATTTTGACATCTGTTTGCTCCTTCCTCCAATAACATCCAATAATGCACTATGAATATTAAAAAAAAGGCAGATTCAGTCATGACATCACAATCAATACAAGTGAAAAATATATAAAACGCAGTGCATCACCATACATCAAGTCAGTCTGATAAGAGCAAGCAAGTGAAATAGAACAGTAAAGGATAACTCAGACAGAAGAATTAAATAAAATGGGATATTTAAGTTTAACAGTCATCACATCCTTCACATTTTTGTTGGCTTACTCATTTTTGATTAGTGGAGCTCATGCAAAGTTGTCATCATCCTCAGAACAGACAGCACCTGCACCCAATGAATTACAGAAACGACCATGGCAGATGAGAGCATATCCAGCACGAAGACTTAAACCTGTAAATTTCTATAAGAAAGACTTTCAAAATGACGTGGAATTTGACGATGTGATAAACGATATGGAGAAGAGATTTGATGATTATGGACATATGAGGTGAGTTTTGAGTCCACTGGATCTTGTACCTTAGTTAAAATGTTAAATATTATAGATTTGGAAAGCGTGGAGTTGGTGAGGACGGGTTTGATGACTATGGTCACATGAGATTCGGACGATAAATTAAACAAAAATAATTAATGATCTCAAGAACTAAACCACCTCATCATTTTGAACGGTGAATGGCTGATAACTTGTTCATTTTGGTGACTTTTACAACAAAAAAAAAACGACACTCTCTTTATTATCCATTTTGGCTGACTTTAAAATTATTATCTTTGTATTAAAAATAAATTAGACTATGTGAACTGCAAATTAACAGGAATAATTTATAAATATTTTATTATTCAACTTAAGATTCTTTATATTTTGTCCATTTGATAAGAGTTTCAGGTGAACGATATAGGAAAAATAATTTAGCGACTAGATCTTCTTCTAATGAATATTGCTTAGCTTCTCGTACCATATAAATATTTCTACATAAATTTAGTATTTTATCAGGACTTGGAAGTTCTTCAACAATCATATTCACCGTTCCTGAATTCATTAGTGCTGATCGTAAGATTCTTGAGCAAACTAAGACGACAGTGATGTAGAAACCGAGTATTCTAGAATTGAAAAATAACGAATTTTCAAAATTATGGTCAAAAACTATTCAAATGAATTTCAAAATGAAATTAATAGAAGGAAACTTAAATCTCACCCTTTAGCTGCCCAGCTACTGATTTCCGATGGAAATAATTTGTCAGTAAACATATAAATATTCAAATGATTATCACAGTCATGATGTGGAACATGCCAAAATAAGTCCTTGCAATCATCATCGGTGCAATTTTCTTTAACTTTCCACCAACTAAATCCCATTTCGTCAGTTTGCATGTTAATCTCAATATCTCGCATGCTTCCTCGATTTTCTAAAATTATTATCAATAAGTTGGTAGTTAAAATATCAGGGCAAAATCTGTGACGATAGCAACGCCTTCCTGTGTTTAATGCACAGTCATCAAGTTATTGCGCAATTCAGATTTTTTATTGACTTACGATTTGATTTAATTGCAAGTTTCTCTACTATAGAAGCTTTTCCAGTACTGCTGACGTGTATAAATTTAGGTAAAAGCTTTGGAATGACCACAGAATTTGTGGAATTTCCTTGAAGTATGTTAATTAAAAGTTTGCGTTGTGTCTTGCTTGATATTGTATAATGAAATTTCTGAAAAGCTTCTTTATCCTTTAAATATCCGAGATCATTAATTTCATATCTAGCCGTTATATCAATAGATTTTTCATGTTTCAAATCATCAATCATGCTCCTTAAACTTGGTGGTGATATATGCCACAATCCAGAAGCACTGACACTCATTTGAACCAGCATAATGTCATCTTCATCAAAATCATTTAAAAATGTAATGGCTTGTTGATTCTTCTCATATAATCTCGTCAATTTATTCCAGTCAGACTTATTAAATTTAATAATTTGTTCAGCTCGGACGTCAATTTTATAAATTGGCTCATATTTTCCAATCCTTAATGTAACCTTAACACTCCTAGGAACATTACTTTGTCCAAGTGAGGGACTGTATGCGAATAACAGTAAAGGAAACCAAATTATAGCGATTATTAATAAAGTCAGTCCACCACCTAATATAATTTTTAATTTCAACGATTTCTTTTCGCCACGTTTTGCATTCTTTGCTAATTCTCGATTGCATTTTACTTGGAATACTTGTGCAAAAATTGTCTCTACTTTCATCCATTCAGCAAAGCTTAATGATGTTGATATGAATGTCCAGTCAATCAATGTTCTTAGTTCAAATAGAAATGGAATTGCCATAAATCTAAAAAAATCATTTAATTTGAAAAATTCAAAAAAAAAAATAACGATTTACTCACATTTTAAATCCAATTAAATGCAATAAATTAAATTGTCGCATTAGGAAATTCCCCAAAACTCTCGCCGGATATCCACAACGAATTTGATACGCAGCCAGTAGAAAATAAATAAATTTTATAATATAAAACAGTATGGGCGGAGATGTTGCATTAAATGCTCGATTTGTTTTGACAGGCAAAATGAAAAACATCCAGCTATGAATGGTGATGATCGTGATGTAGTGAAAAATGACTTTTCCAATCATATTTTTACGTAAATATAGCATTCTGTCAATTATTATTACAATAAATTGCATTATGATTAAGAAGAGTAAAGACGTTGGAACTTTGTTTTCTTCAAAGTAATTTAGTATGCTCTTTGAGTCGTCTGTTGATTGAATCTACAAGAATAAATAATCGATGAATTTTTATTATTGTCTATAAGACTAGCAACAACAACCTACCGCAAATTTACTAAAACCAAAAAGGAGCACAAAGAAGTTCATAAAGTCGCATAGAAAACAAAACGTGTAGACGTCAACAGATTTCCGTGGGATGTGATGTTTTGGTACCAAAAATTTTATAAAATTAATCAGCAACGAAAAGTACTGCTCAAATGACAGGCGAATTACGGATGCATAGAAATCGATTGGATCTTCAAGTTCATGTTCAACCATCACTAATTCGTTAATTTTATATGTTTTAGTCATGTCTGTTTGGTCAATTGGATAGATCTTGATAGTAGAATCTCCTTGATTTATCATAATTGACAACTTTCCTAAATTATCATTGAAAATTGCTTCATTTGCTTTCAACAATTCTTTCTTGCTCTTTATCACTTCCTTCAAAACACTTTCTTGAGTCTGTTGAGCATCTTGAACCTCAATCTTCATGACTATTTTGGAACTAGACTCATCCAACAGCTTATTTGTACTTCCATCAACTTCATTCTTAATCTTATCGCTCATTACTTCCATCTTGTTATTTTGTATAAGCTTAATTAAATTATTTGTTTTAATATTCTTCTTATCAAGTTCATAAGATCCTGACAAAAATTCATTTTCTTCAGTATTCCAGATTCCAAACATTTTCTGAACACTTCGATGGATGAATAGTGCAAGCAGTAATAATAAATCGTAAAAGACAAAATGATTTCGATTGTCAATTCCCAGCATTTGCACGAAATGATGATTCTTGTTCCACCAAATGATATTGAATTGTGAGACACATTTTAATAAAATTATTGACTGTGTATAAGCTATTAAAATAATCCAAAATGTTTTCTTTGGACGTGGGAATGTTAAAGTTGCCCAGAAAAATATTAAAAGTGGCAAGCATATTGACAGAATGTTGGCATAAAAGCACTGAAAAAGAAATAAATTAAGTTAAAAAGTTGTTGGATGGTTATTTAAATAAGTCAAGACACATTTTTGAAATTTTGATTAATTTTTCAAACTGTTGTATGGCTTTCATTCTTGCAAAAGCTTTAAAATGTCAAAAGTTATCTAAATTCAGCAAAAAGCTTCTATCTCAATAGCTTGAAAATTATAATAATAATACCTGATTAATCAAAATGACCATATAAATCAACAAGTCTGTGTGTGTGAGTGTTATGTATAAAATCTCGCACAAAGATTCCTTCACAGTCACATCTTCTGGCTTTACAACTTCATAAAGCTTGACATTTGAGTTTTTCCAACTAGAAATGAAAACACAAAAAGAATATTAATCACTCAAATAAAGGAAAATAGCTTGTAGGTAAATACTTACAATTTTTCATCAATTTTCTTCAGCACATAAGTGTGTCTCGATCTTTCAGCAGCATTGCTAAGATGAGTATAGCTGTAAACATAAGATAATAATTAGGCTTTAAATAAATCATTTAGTAGACAATTGGTTTACATCATGTCATGTGCAGATTTCGAAGCCAACGTCTCCTTTAAAAACTTTCTTTCTTCATCTAAAGCTTTAATTATTAATGTGTGCTTTCTCGAGAGTTTGTGTAACTTGTAAGATATGCTTAGTACATATTTTGTTAACTTTGAAGTTAAGTTTTTTGATTTATTAAGAAAATTCTCTACAACTTCTTTAGACTTTTCAGTCGTACTTTCAGTTTCGATGCTCACTTTCTTTGAATTCTCACCATTCTCAAAATAAAGCATTAATGACTTTTGAGGGATTTCTCTGTCTGTAAATTCGATTTCTTCAAGAAAATCTTCCTCAAACATGTAATAATCGCCATTCCTGACCGCAATGTCATGACTCTTGATATTTCCATCTCGAATATTTTTTTCAGTAGCTAATTGTGTGATTTTTTCCATTTTTTTCTTAATTATATCCAAATTTTTGTTCTCTTCATCAATTGCTGTTGTGATTTCTTGAATTCGGATTTCTTCCATAATTTGAGCACCTCGTGCAGCCAATAAATTAGTAATGTATGTGTCATAGACAGTATCAAAGAAGTAAGAACTCAAAAATATTCGTTTTTGGAATATAATAAAGAAGAATAAAGCAACGTCCGTGATATAAAATGTTTGATTAAAAATATCACCACAAAAAGATTCTCCATCGCCAGTCATAAAGCAAGGAAAGTCAAGAAGCTTCAAAATCCAGCATACATTTATCGGAATTTCATTTCTAAATAGACATCCAAAGACTTTTATGCTGTATCGAATCAACATCACGCAGACATTGTAAATTAATAGAATATTCCACCATTTCTTGATAGTTTTAAGAGGTTTTGAATAAAAATCAGCTCCTTGCCAGAAGAATATAAAGGATGCAGTAATATATCCCAACGCAAAAACTCGAGCATGTATAGTTCCAATAAAAAACATTAAAGTTAGCATCATCCATAAATGGCACTTAAACACAATTTTCTTCAGAAGTTCTTTTACATTATTGAATAGAGGTGTTCCTTCATGCTCGAATATACTAGACATTTTGAAATTGCTTGGAGTTGGAAAATGCTACAATACAATTAAATTCAGATTAAATTTTAAAAACCTTACAAATTCCGATTAAAAATTGTAAGGTTTTAAACTCATAATGAAATATTTGTATAATTTTTTCAAAAACTTAAATATTAAACTTACTTGACATCCAAGAATAACCAGTAATGCAAAGTCATAACTCAATATCCATGGATTCTCATGCAGGTTTCCCAATATTTTAGAAGTTGGTGAGATTGTTCTTTCCATTCTTGATTGAAATGCGTGACATTTTTTAAACATCACGAAGAATCCAATAATCAAAGATTGAAGGAAGACTGAAGATGCCACAAAGCCTGTCGTAATTATCCAAAATACTTTGAGTTGTCGCTGTTTTAGGAATGTTAAAATAACAAAGAATGGTGCATAAAACACTGAAATAAAGTCCAGTCTTGAAAACATAAGGATTAAAAATCCAAATAAAGTCAGTTCCACTCCAAAGTTTTGATATCCATAATCGATTAAAAATTTAATAAAATATGTGATGTCAACTTTTTCGGAACCAAATATTGTACAAGGTGTTTCTATTGGCAGTGACAATTTCTTTCGATTGCATTCTTGTCTGAATTTTAAGCCACAATAAATAGTCAAAATAACGATGATTCCAAAATAAAAGCTTATTTTCTGGTAAAATGAATTCTGTGGATCTACATTAAACCATTCCGTAAAGTTTTTCAGTACAAATAGAACTTCTTGGTTGTTATCAATTATGCATTGATCTTTCTGTTCAATCTTATCAGGAAAAAAGTATGAAGCTAATTCATAAAGCATAATTCCGACAACAAAAAGCATCGACATGAATGAAATTGCAATCAAAAATAATTTCCTCAATTTCTCAGCTCTAAACATGGCTCCAATACTTAATATCATCATAATTGAGACGTTGACAATTTGAATCTGTAAAGTATTAAATTTTTAAGTATGTAACGGTCAATAAAATGTGTTACTTACACGACCACATGCTGCAAAAAATATCCCAAAATATAAAAACTTGATGAAATGAATTTCAAGGAACAGCAAGAAGCTTTCAATCAGTTCTTTCATTTTCTATAAAAAGAAATAATCAATTGTTTAAACATAATTTAATTAATTTACTAATGCTTACAGTAATTAAGTGATCCTTTTTATACTCATGGTCTTCAATTTTCTTTGAATTTCCACAGCTTTCAAAATACTTCAAAAATTTAGCATGCAAATAGTTGACTTGAATTCCACTCAAAGTTGTTATCGTACTCAATGAAATTAATTTGATAAACAGCTCCGATGTCACGTACTTCTGCAGTCCAATAGCACTATAAAATGGCAGTTCCGAAAATCCATCAAATTGATAGATGTACGTAACAATCAAAATAGATTTTGTGAAGAAGATCAACACGATCCAGTAAGTGTACATGATTTTTTTCCATAAAGTAATCGATATTTGAAAAATCAGCACAAATACAAAAAGCAGAATCATATTAGTTATTCTAAATACAGACATTTGATTTTTTTCATATACAGAAAAAATCAATAGCAAAAGCATGATGATCCACATTAAACTATATGACATAATTCTACCAAGTGGATTTAAAATCAAAGTTGTTAGCTTGTTCTCCTTGACATCAGTAGTCAGATAAATATTTGAAGTTATTGGATCATATTTCTGTCTCATAATAATCCAAAAAGGTATCGCCAAAATTGATTTAAAGATCAAATGAATTCCTGGATAATCCTTATACTTGATTATTCCAATTTGCTGAATATTAGCACCTTCAATATTGTAAGGAAGTTCAGCACCAGTAACATTCAATCCATAAAGATAATTAAGCATAATCAATAAGCATGCATACATTGAAATTAATGTGGACATCTTAATTAATTTGGATCGTTGATTTGATAAGACAAAAGTAACGTTTGAAATAATAAGGAACACAAATCCAAGCCAGGAATGATACGATATACTCCAAATTACCATGCTTAATATGGCAATGATGTAAGCTTGACGGAATATAAAGGTTTGAAAAAGTGTTGGAAGTTTTGCAATTGATGATAATTTCCTTTCAGCACTGTATCTCATCTGTAGCTTTTCAACCTTTATTATCTGTGAAATTATGTTAATTAATGGATGTATTTTGTTGCAATTTTAGTTCTTTACCATTATCATTCTCGATATATTTGCTATGATCAAATAGGATACCATTAGAACCATTGGATGTAATAGAAAGTCCCAGTTCAGTTGTTTATTGAAATATATCCCATGATTAGTGGCTTTAAATATTTCATAAAGTCCTAGAAGACGAGCAACAATACTTTGACTTGGCAAGACACTTTGGAAGTAATCAATTTGATATAGAATTATGGAAACTATTTGCAGCATTAACATCCACGATATCATCCTTAATATTATTGAGAATTTCTTGCCTAGTCCACAATTTGAAGCCAAATGCATGATTGATATTAAGAATGTGACAAAATAAATCATATTAATAGCCGAGACACAAACCGCTCCGGACAAACACGTTGTCATTATACTAATCAATGACAAAATTCGATTTATTAAACCATAATTCGTGGATGTAACATCTGTGGCTCTCTCTTGCACTTTCACATTATCCAAATTCTCATTTTTTAGATTTCTTTCCTTTGCTATTTGTATGCTGATTCCAAGAACTATAGATGAACCCAAAGAAATAACGAGATCAGGTACAACCGTTAAATAAATGTCCCATGTGCTGTAATTTTAAAGAATCATATGAATGAATGACAATTAAAGTATTAGCTGGTATTTACCTTGATTTATTAAAGTCAATGACTCCAAGAACATTGAGGCTTATGATTTTAGGAAGATCTAGATAATCACACACACTCTTTATTTGAAAGATCAGTTGAGTGACAAAAGCGAGTGTTGAACAAGCAATTAAGCTACTTAAATACACAATTTTAATGACTGCTTGACTTTCTTTAAGTGAAACATAAGGTGATACGAAGAAAAATGTTAAATAAATTAACGATAATCCAACCACAGGTCTTAAATTGATACCTAAAATGATTTATTCATTTAATTTACAGCATGATCACACACAAAACCAATACTTACATGCACAAATGAGCAGTGGCAAGAATATTTTACAACTTAAATTGTTAAACGAGTTCATTTTGAAGTTATATTATTAATTTTTCTAAGCTTTGTTTGACTTAAATATTAACGGGGTTCGAAAATTTGAATTAAAGGAGAAAAATTTTCAAAGGGAAGGAAAATGAACATAAATTTGTTAATTCAGAAGGATTTCGACCTTATTTTATGACTTAAATTCTAAGGCAAATAATAAAACGAAAATCGTGTGGATAACAGCATAAATATCGATAAAAAGTGAACGTAAACAAACGATTTCCACACCTTAATTTTCTAGTTTCACTCCCCTCTTTACATGTGATTTCGCCTTAAAAACTTAATTAAAGAAAATTGAATTAAAGCCATAAGATATCACAATGACACTGCTCAATATTCTACGATCAAGGACTTGCTTGAAATTTGCCAATGATTTTGGGCTAAGATCACAGGTAATTAAAGGAGGAAAGTCAATTGTTTATTGCATAATTTTTTTGAAAATAAAATAATTCTTTTTCAGTATAAATTAGCAAGATGTTACTCAGATGATAACAAGTATGCAGTTCATGCACCACTAAATCGAATAAGAAACATTGGTATATCGGCTCACATTGATTCCGGAAAGACTACATTAACAGAGAGAATTTTATATTATACTGGAAGAATTGCTGAAATGCATGAAGTTAAAGGAAAGGACAATGTTGGTGCTGTTATGGATTCAATGGAACTAGAAAGGCAAAGAGGTATTACAATTCAATCAGCTGCTACATATACAGTCTGGAAAGGATACAATGTTAACATCATTGATACACCGGTAAATTTTTAATGAATCTTTCCGGGATCTTTAATTCAAGTAAGTCAAATTAACTTTTAGGGTCACGTAGATTTCACAGTTGAAGTAGAGAGATCATTGAGAGTTTTAGACGGTGCCATTTTAGTACTTTGTGCTGTCGGTGGAGTTCAGAGTCAAACATTGACAGTAAATCGTCAAATGAAACGTTATAATGTCCCATGTCTAGCATTTATCAATAAACTCGATCGAATGGGATCTAATCCATATCGTGTATTATCACAATTGAGATCAAAACTTAATCATAATGCTGCTTTTGTACAATTAGCAATGGGATTAGAGAGTAACTGTAAAGGAGTTATTGATCTTGTCAATGAAAGAGCGATGTACTTTGAAGGAAATTACGGAAATAATGTAATAATTGATGAAATACCACAAGATTATAGAACTGAAGCATCAGAAAAAAGACAGGAATTAATTGAGCATGTATCAAATGCTGATGAGACATTAGGTGACTTATTTTTAGAAGAAAAAGTACCAACTGTTGATGATCTTAAAGCAGCAATTAGACGATCATGTTTGAAACGAAAATTTACACCAGTTTTTGTTGGAACTGCATTAAAGAATAAAGGAGTTCAGCCATTACTCGATGGTGTTATTGATTATTTACCAAATCCTGGCGAAGTTGAGAATATAGCATTAATTGAACGTGATGGACAAGAGACGGAAAAAATAGATTTAAATCCAGCGCGTGACGGCAAATCACCATTTTTAGGATTAGCTTTCAAATTAGAAGCTGGACGATTTGGTCAGTTAACATACATGAGATGTTATCAAGGAATGATTAAGAAAGGCGACAATATTTATAATGCAAGAACTGGCAAAAAGATTCGTTTATCACGTTTGGTACGGCTCCATTCAAGTAACATGGAAGATGTCAATGAAGTTTATGCTGGCGATATTTTCGCACTTTTTGGCGTTGATTGTGCTAGCGGAGACACTTTTGTGACTGATCCTAAATCTAATATTTCTATGGAATCGATTTATGTACCAGATCCAGTTGTTTCAATGGCTATACATCCAGCAAATACCAAAGATCGTGACAATTTTGCAAAGGCAATCGCAAGATTCACAAAAGAAGATCCAACATTCCATTTTGAATTTGATCCAGACGTAAAAGAGACATTAGTATCAGGAATGGGTGAATTACATTTGGAGATCTATGCACAGAGAATGGAAAGAGAATATAATTGTCCAGTTGTGCTCGGAAAACCAAAAGTTGCCTTCCGTGAAACTTTAGTCGCACCTTGTGAATTTGATTATCTACACAAGAAGCAATCTGGAGGTTCTGGACAATATGCTCGAGTTAGTGGAATTTTGGAACCATTACCACCACATCAAAACACAATTCTTGAATTCATTGACGAAACAGTTGGTACAAATGTACCAAAACAGTTTATTCCTGGCGTTGAGAAAGGTTTTAGGAAAATGGCAGAGAAGGGATTATTGTCTGGTCACAAACTATCAGGTCTCAAGTTTAGATTACAAGTACGCAAAATTCATTTTTTGAAATTGTCGAATTTTCAAGATTTGAATATTATTATCCAAGTTCCAAACCCTTATTGAAAATTCAAAATTTAAAAAGCCGTTAAGATTTTAAAAATCTAGAAACAGATTCAATTGTTATAAATTAAAATTTCAGGACGGCGCTCATCACATTGTCGATTCTAGCGAATTAGCTTTCAATTTGGCTGCATGTGGAGCAATTAAAGAGGTCTTTGAAAAGGGTGGTTGGCAAATTATCGAACCAATTATGGCAGTTGAAGTCACGTGTCCAGATGAATTTCAAGGAGTTGTGATGTAATTAACCTTTTCATGACTAATCAGTGACATGTAAATAAAAAGATTGATATTTTAGGGGACAGTTAAATAAACGTCATGGAATTATTACCGGATCTGACGGAGCAGAAGGCTGGACCACAATTTATGCAGAAGTACCACTTAATGACATGTTTGGTTATGTAGGAGAAATAAGATCATCAACACAAGGAAAAGGAGAGTTCAGTATGGAATACAGCAGATATTCACCGTGCATGCCTGAATTACAGCAGAGATTAGTTGAGGAATATCAGAGATCACAAGGAATTCTCACGGACGAAAAGGAGAAAAAGAAGCGAAAAAATTAAGATCAACAACGTAGATTAATGAATTGATGGACTATAATAAAGGATTTTAAATTATTTAAATTTATTTTTTAAATACGATATTTTTGTCATTTTTATTTACGCCTTTTTATGAAGTGAAAAAATATAATTAGCAATGCTCTGAATTCCTAAAATTTTGTTTTGTTTTGTTTGACTTAAAAGCTAGCAATATGCTGTGTAAATTGTATAGAAATCATTATAAGTACATTTCTATATCTAATACAATATGTATAAAAATAATTTCTCGTTTAAAATCATAAGAATTTGCAAAAGTTTGCGCGTTTTAAAAAACATATTGGCACGAAAACATAGAATTAATTAAAATTATAGTTTAAAAGTTTAAAAGATTCAGACGAGCTACATACAAGTTGCTTTAAAATGACGAAAAGGATTAAGATTTAAGCAGCTATGGGGGTCATTTATGAGTTACGTAACTATTCTAGTTCAGATTCAGTTTCAAATACTTATTGACTGTTACTATTCAAATATTTTTTGACTGTTTTTTATGACGTTACGTAGCCCTAGAATGACTTTCCCTAGCAGAATCATAGAGAGATAAAATGAATCTTATTCGAGATAAAATGTCTAAAATATATTCTTTGCATTAAAATATTCGATGAGATTATGTTTCATAAATATATGCTGTCATGCTTAATTTTGTTGTGCCTGTATTTTAGCTTGCATTTGCGCCAACATTTCCTGCATTCGTTTCAATTCTGCTTCCTTTTCCTTCAAAATTCGATCCTTCTCGTTCGTATCGTCTTCAAAAACTTCCTCCTTTGCAAGATGTCCATTTCCATTAGCCATCTTTCCATTCGCATTACGCGATGCCTTTGCCAAGCGCTCTGAACGATAATTTTCATAATGAACTTCCTGTGTTACTTCTTGCAAATCTTGCATGTGTGTACTGAAATGTGAAATTGAGAAAATTAGAAAATAAATTTTGCAGACCATAAATCAATCAAATTACATCAACATAGTTCGTAGCTTAATAAAATCACAATGCTCTGGATTTTCGACTTCAACAACACCCCATGGATACAATCGTCCACGAACTTTCTTGCCTTTAACTTCAAGAAGAGTTGTTGATCCACAAACAGCAAATGGGACGGCTTCTTTTAATTGTCTTACTTGTTCCTTATAATCTTCATCTTCATCGGAATCACAATCTGGCAGTGGATAAATCTTTATTCCATTCTCTTTGATTTCTTCGAGAATCCTTGACTTTAGGCGATTAACTTCCTTCTTTGTTAAAACATCACTTTTCGCTATGACCTAAAATTAAATTAATAACGGTTGTTGTTTTGAATTCAAGCTATATCGGCTTTTTAAAAATTTGAATTTTAACTGTCACTATAAATTCAAAATTTAAGTTTTCTAGTCGAGACACAAACCACAATTACAAGAATTCGCAGACAGAGAATCATCAATATTATTGCTTTAGCAAGTATGACTGGTTTTCAAGGCAATTAAAGACAGCAAATTCCACTTAAATTAAATACTCACAGGAACAATGTTGACTTTTTGGTGTAACTTTTTCATGAATTCAATATCTAAAGGCTTGAGTCCATGACCGAAAGGGGATATAAAATAGAAGCAACAATGGACACGATTGTCAACAATATTTCTACGATTTAAGCCACTTTCATCTCTCAAATATCTCTCGTACTGTTCATCGATATACTCCAAAATATTATTGAAACTATTTGAGTTATCTATGGCATCACCGAATCCAGGAACGTCTACAACAGTAAGGCGGAGTTTGACACCACGTTCTTCAATCTCGACTGTCGATGCATCCAGTTTAAGTGATTGCTTTGTACGTTCTGTAAGAAATTTAATTAAATTATTGGAAATTGAGAGCTTGCGGTTAACGAGTCAGCAACTTACCAACAGCATCTGGCACAACACGTTCTGGATATAAATCAGTTAAGAAAAGTGAGTTCACAAGTGTCGATTTACCAAGTCCAGATTCACCGACAATCATGAGAGTAAACTCGAAGCCTTTCTTGACAGACTTTCGATGCACTTGATTTGGAAGATTTGCGAATCCGACATAACCTGATGTGTCCATTGCTGAAAACTGTTTAAGGAAGAATTAAAAATGAGATCATAAATCACATCTATCAAGTTTGATTGATTCTTATCAAATTTTTATATTGCGCGTATTAAAATTTTTTAATAGCCTTATTCGAGACATTAAAAATGTTCATTTATTAACACACAGTCAGCGATGTCGAATATGGAGCGAAAGAGAATTAATCAAAACAATTTGTTTCATGTCTTAAATTAAAAATTTAAAAAGAAATTGTGTGTCGAATGGAGGAACTGAATGCTCGCAATGCACTCTGAATAAATAATAAATAAGCTTCATGAAAATTTCAATAAGAATACACAATACGGCATGGCATAAATGTGTTGAATATGAGCTAATGAATTATACTTTTCAGATCGGGATTATCGTGAATGACTAGCGTATATGCTGAATTCTTTCGGATGTCCCGGAGAAATAAGCGGTTTTTCATTTTACAAATTTAGCAGTTATTAATTTTTCAAATATTCTTGACACAATCTACTGAAGTCAAGGTTTGAGTCTTTGATAAATATTCAAAAGTTCTCTTTTTTTATCAAAATTTTAAGTCAATATCCAAATAGCATGGACACCGTTCTTTGATGTTTGTGTCTTCAATTTTAAGAATTAAAGTTTGAGTCTTAACCCGTCTCTCATAACTTCGATAGTTTTTACAAAAAGCCCTAATCTATGAATCATGTGTATTTTGTGTTAAATACTTATGCAAATGAATAACATTTTATTGTTCATCGAACACTACAATAATAAAAAACAAAACGGAAGACGTTCTCCTGAGAAAAGCATATATGTACAATCTGAACAATCTGTACATGGTCTCATAAACTGCACTTTTTGTTTATAGTGCTCTAATTTTATTTTTGGAATCTATGTGTCTGTATGCATGACAAAAAAAATGTTAAGCTCTTCTTTTATTTCATTCTTAGGAAGTCTACACATAAATTAAATGGTGTCAATTTCTACTCACGCAAGTAAATTTTTTCATGCACCGAAAAAGAATGTAAACCATACCATAAAGCAGCTATTTGTTGTAATAATATAAGCGTATTTTATGCAAATTTAATTCTGTTGCTTTATGTCGAAATATTTTTATTATTATTGACTTCTTTCATGCCAGATTCCTTTCTATTTTAATTGTTGATTAATCTCAAGCATTCTTTAGCATTCTCATGAAACAGATATTAATTCCTCATAAGTATTATTCATACTTGAAAGTATTTTTAAAGATTTGCAAACTGGATATACAGAAAAAATATCGATAAATGCCGCAAGCGAACCAATCAGGAAAGAAACAATTATTTCGAGATATTCATATAGTTTTTTTTTTTCATGTAACCGATGTACATGCATCGCATAAACATATAGAGTCATAAAAAAATGTTTACTTAAGATCACTTACTTGCTTTTCTGAAGACATTTGTATGCCAAAGAGTTTCTCTGAGAGGTGCTCAATTATAAGATTTTTATTGATCGATACGATTAAAAAATGATAAAAATTGTCGATTAAAAGCACTTTCACACAATTAATAATACTTATTTATGCTTAGTATTGTCAAAGTAATGTTAATATTGACGGAAAACATAAAATACACTAAGACTTCTTATTTAATACAAAAATTATTCGGTACTGAATGTTTTATCCTCTCGGAACAGCAAGTATTGCACTTGTGGGTGCACCTATTTAATCTTTTTTTGCAGCGCATTTAGTTTAATTAATGAATTTCAGCTTTTTTGAAAAGTATCAAGATAGAAAAATGATTTTAAGGATAACGAAGAAATTTTATTCAAATTTTAACGACTTTCTTAATTTTTTGAATTACAAAACTGTTGCATGGTTTTAAGAAATATACTTTAAAATCTTATAATTTCAGCTAATTCATGATAGGGGCCATTCACTTATTACGTAACGCTTTTAGGGGGGGGGGGGGGGGGGGTGGGAGGGGGGTCTAAGATTTTGTTACGGTTCAAACAAGGAAATTTTTTTATATTCACACCGTTTTCACGTGTGAATCTATTGGTTTTGTTCAGATTGAAAAATCAGTTTTTCGCATTTTGTGAGAAAACAAAGCAAAATTGGTTATAAAAGGGCAAGAAGAAAAGTTTGTGCCTGAAATTTTACATCATTTTCAAAAAACAGATTTCAAATTGGTTGTGGCATTGCTGAGAAAATCGCAAAATACGCTTTCTGTAAGCAAACAAGCAAGCAAGCAAGCAAGTTAATCAGCAAGAAATCTCAATAACAAGACATCGTAGAGACTTCTAGTTTTTTACATTTGATCCGTGCTACTCTATAGAAGAGCTGTATTGTTTTTGGACAAGGTAGGAACAGCCGTTGCTTCAGAAATGGCAAAAAACTTTCCTTTCTTACGAATTTTTTAAAACAAAAGTTGACTGTGATTTTTATAAAATTCAACTTTGGATGAAAATTTTTTTTAATAAACTTTTAAAGAATATTTGGCATATTCGTCAAGCTTTATACCTTCAAACTTATGCTGAGCGTAGCTCAGCTTACGCGATAGCTTTATAACTTCAACTTATGCTAAGCGAAGCTCCACTGCCTCTCTAATTTCATATCTTCAAACTTATGCTGAGCGTAGCTCAGCTGACACTCTAGCTTTATATCTTTAAACTTATGCTGAGCGAAGCTCCACTGCCTCTCTAGCTTCATATCTTCAAACTTATGCTGAGCGTAGCTCAGCTGACACTCTAGCTTTATATCTTCAAACTTATGCTGAGCGTAGCTCAGCTTACGCGATAGCTTTATAACTTCAAACTTATGCTGAGCGAAGCTCAGCTGCCTCTCTAGCTTCATATCTTCAAACTTATGCTGAGCGTAGCTCAGCTTACGCGATAGCTTTATAACTTCAAACTTATGCTGAGCGAAGCTTAGTTGACTTATCAAGCTTCATACCTTCATACTTATGATGGGCAAATCTTGGTCTATTCATAAGACTTATGATAGTACGGTGTGAATATAATCCGCATTGGGTTTCTACCCGATACACTAGTTTTCATACAAATTTTGTTACGAGGGGGGGGGGGGGTCTAAAAAGTCATTTTTTCGCGTTACGTAATAAGTGAACAGCCCCATAGTTCACATACAAAAACGGAATAAAACTAGCAATACTCAGCCCAAAGTGACCAAGAAACGCTCATCACGATGGTAAAACAGAAGCTAAATCGTCAAGAACCCCTCAAATGTTTTATTGAAAACCGTACTTTCGTGGAAAAAGTTGAAACCCCTCAGACAGTCAGGAATATTAGTCGCGATAAATTATTTTACGATTAAATTAATAAAAATCACCGATTGAAAATGCTTTCTCGTGCGGCTTTGTTGTCTGCAGGTAAATATAATTAAGCTTTATAAATTTCTAAACATCCAGAGATGAAAAACTCGTTAAAAACTGTGGAAATTACACGAAAATAATATTTTTCTCATATTAACCAACATATTGCATAACATAAAAAATCAAATTAAAAATCATCCGCATAATAATATAAGTCATGAATTACTGGATGTCACTATATTCATGATGTATTTTAATAATGTACAATTATTAATCCATAATGTCACTTCCTTTTCTATATATTATGTACAGCCCAAAGGACGTCAGTAGTTGCGTTGGCTCGCGGATCATCCACTGGAACAGTTGCTGATCGACCAGTACGTCTCGAACATCCAGGCAAAGTTCGTATGGGCTTCATTCCTGACGAATGGTAAAATTCGAATGACACTGAAAAAAAGTGAAACGAAGTTCTATAACGAAAAAATATATCGATTCTATTTTAGGTTCCGATTCTTCTATCCAAAAACAGGTGTCACAGGACCTTATGTCTTCTTAGCTGGTCTATCAACATACATGTTCTCTAAGGAAATTTATGTTATGGAACACGAATACTACACTGGACTCTCAATCCTTATTGCTGTAGTCTTTGCAGCTAAGAAGTTTGGTCCAGGAATGGGAAAGGCTCTTGACAAGGACGTCGATGTAAGTCACATTAACATACTTTAAATATACAAAATTGATTAACTTGAAGATATTATTTAGGCCTATGAACAAGAATGGAACCAAGGTCGCTTAGACGAATTAAAAGATCATGCTGTAGCCATTGAAGCCGAAAAGAAGGAACAATGGAGAGCAGAAGGTCAACTTGTATTGATGGATGCCAAGAAAGAAAATGTAGCATTACAACTTGAAGCTGCATATCGTCAGCGAGCAATGACTGTTTTCCAGGAAGTCAAGAAACGTTTGGATTATCAAGTTGAGCGTCAAAATATTGATCGTCGTATGACTCAGAAACATATGGTTAACTGGATCGTAAACAATGTCCTTAAATCAATTACACCAGATCAAGAAGCACAGACACTTAATAAATGCATTGCTGATTTGGGCTCATTAGCTGCTCGTAAGTAAATTTCGTCATCCTACCTACGACTACGATTCCATCTTTAAGAACCCTTCGATTAAATAGTAAAAAAAAAACTTAATAATATTGAAAAAAAACTTGTCTCTGATTGAAAGAATTAATGATTAAATTGTATATTAAATTGCTTCTCAATTTCCTACAGCGCGAAAAAGTGATCCATGCATAAAGAAGATACCGAAAAAATGTTAGTAGATTTAAATTGATGAAGAAAATGATTTCCAAGAAATTTCAAGAAACAATAAATCACAAGTCATCAAAAAAAGACTTTACTATTTATTTCTCTACTTCCAAAGTATGCAGGTATGTCAATTTTAGAAATTTATAAAATCATATTCACGATTCATTTGGACTGTAAGTTTGAGAATTTTGCTAGTCGAGTCATATTCAGCACGTCCCTTTTGTGGATTAACCTTGTGTGGCAGCATCAGTTTAAGACGATAAATTGGTGTTCTTAGTTCAATCTTGTCTTCCTCGACTGTTAAATCCATTTGATCAATTCCGACAATTTCGTCAGGTATTCGAACCTCAACAATCATATCTTCACAGCTGGATGTTGCGGGCGTTTTAAATCCCATTTGTAAATATATATCTTCAGTCGTAACTGCTTGCTTGTAAGTGATTTTGTATTCTGGGTGCTTACGCATGTCCAATAATTCCTCATCATTCATCTGTTGTTTCGCTAAATCGTCCATTGATTTAATTGAATTGTCAACATTGACCTTTTTCAGCAATGGATTATCCAAGGTTTTAACAATTTGACTCTTTTTTGGCTGCTTAATATCTCCGGGACCAAAAGCTTGTTCTCTCTCATTTTCTGAGTCTGATGAGCTTTCGTCATCATTTTCGTGACATTTATCAAATAGATTTTTTAAGAGAGTTATCGAATTGTAGTCCATAATGTGAAAATGTCTAGGAAAATGGAGCAATTTATGCAATGTAAATAATTTCAATTGTTGCTATAGCATCGAAAAACACTAGAATGTTGCGAGCGCGATACAATTCAACCCCTCGAGCATGAGATAATTTCGTTTATTTTTCATTAAATGTTCTCGCGTGAATCTCACTTGATACATATTAGCTTGTATTTTTTGGAATTGGTGCTAATTGGGACTGCTTATTGGTTGATGTTTCGTCCAAAATCTTTTTTGAATTTTTAAAAACATAATCTTCGATAGCACAGAATCAAGTTTAAAAAGTGTTTTAATCAAAAATTGTGTCTTCACTAAAATTTAAAAATCAACAATTTACTGAACAAAAAAGATCTTTGCTAAAACTCAAAATTTACAAAATCGTTGAAACAAAATTTTGTCTTGACTTAATTTCAAATTTTGAAAATAAATTTGTAAAAAAAAACATTGAAAAAAAAGTAATGCAAATTTATGTTAATAAGTCTGCGCTACAGCCACAAATGTCCGATAATTCTCCGAAGCTTCCCATTCTCTCTCTCGTGTGCGCCTTTGCGATTTTAAGTTTGCAGCAAAAAATATCTCACACAAAAATTGATCAGTTCTATAAGAGTCGTTGAGTTGAAAAGTACAAAAGAAATTGATAAGCTGAGAATATTTAAAATTTGACTGATTTTATTGACCACATAAAATTGCATAAGAATCATTTAAATTGAGAAATAGAAAATTAAAAGTGTAAAAATATTTTAATGCATAATTAATAAAGCATAAGTGGATGGAAATGCTCATCTGGTATCATTGTGCTGCTTATTTATTTAGCAAAGCTGATTGATCTTCAAAGTAAAGACAAAAAAGAGAGAGAAAAAAAAATAATAAATACACTAGGTACGAAATTTTTGTGGACGACAAATGAAGATTAAAATAATACATTAGTTGAAAGAGTGAATTTCTAGTCTAAATTTATTAAAGTGGAAGAAGATTCATGTGAGAAAAAAATCACATATTTTTGATATTTTATTTTGTGGGTGATAAAGAGATTATTAAATGAATAACATATAGCATGTTAGCAGATCAACGACATTAAATTAAAAAAAAGTTCTTTTCTTAGTGTCTTTTAAATCACATGTTTATAGGTGAGTTGTTATCATTCACTCAGCCCACAAATAGTAAATGTATTATTCCGTCATATAAAAGATTAATATATTTTTTTAACGAAAATAGAAGACTTAATCACGATCAATTTTTATCTTGAATGAGAAATTTTTATTTGAATTCTTCAATGCGTACGAGAGATATGTAGTTCATCCCGGGGCTGCTCATGAATTTTTGTTTATTATGCTTCAAGAAAATGTCAATAAGGTTTTAAATTTATAACGAATTTTTACATTTTAAATTGAGTCTTGGATTAATTCAAATAACTGATGTGTCTTAGATTAATTCAAGTAATTGATGTGTCTTAGATTAATTCAAGTAATTGATGTGTCTTAGATTAATTCAAGTAATTGATGTGTCTTAGATTAATTCAAATAATTAATGTGTCTTAGATTAATGTAAGTAATTGATGTGTCTTAGATTAATGCAAGTAATTGATGTGTCTTAGACTAATTCAAGTAATTGATGTGTCTTAGATTAATGCAAGTAATTGGTGTGTCTTAGATTAATGCAAGTAATTGGTGTGTCTTAGATTAATGCAAGTAATTGGTGTGTCTTAGATTAATGCAAGTAATTGATGTGTCTTAGATTAATACAAGTAATTGATGTGTCTTAGATTAATGCAAGTAATTGATGTGTCTTAGACTAATTCAAGTAATTGATGTGTCTGATTAATTCAAGTAATTGATGTGTCTTAGATTAATGCAAGTAATTGGTGTGTCTTAGATTAATTCAAGTAATTGATGTGTCTTAGATTATTTCAAGTAATTGATGTGTCTTAGATTAATTGAAGTAATTAATGTGTCTTAGATTAATGCAAGTAATTGATGTGTCTTAGTTTTAGTCAAAAAACTATTGTGTCTTGGATAATAAAGTCCATCCAAGCTATCCAAAGCGTGTTTGAGAGTAGTTAAAAACGGTTCAAGGTTTTTATAAAACCCTAGCAATCCCAAATACCCCTTTAATTACTCGATGAACACCATGAGTAGATGAATTTGATGGAATTATTGAATTTGCATCAAAATCTCAGCTTCAAAATCCAATAATGCTTACAGTCTTAATTAATTAATAGCAATTAAAGGGTGAAATTCCATTAAACATTAATCACGTGCAGCTCGGGTGTGATCTCATCTGAATATAAAAATTCATCATTCTTTTCTGTTTTTCTTTTCTTATTTTCTCCCTTGCTTTTTTTTGCCGAAACTCGAATTTATGGTCAATTTAATCATTTGCGAATAAATAATAATATTTCAATTTCTCTCCGATACATTGACACCATCGATGTGCTTGTTAACAAATTTTAATTGGATCTGGAATGTCGAGTGTCAGGCATGAAAAACAGATCAGTTAACCGAAATAAAATGATGTTTATAAAAATTTCTGTGGATTTTTCTTTTCTATCCGATTTTTTCACTGTGTTTTTAATTACTTTTCACCACTCAGCCTCAGTAGAATAATAAATATTTTGCATATAGACACACAGCCAGCAAAGATGGTCAAGTTTATGTGGATAATATGCGTTGTGATGTTGCTTAGTTTAGAAATCTCAAATAGTTGGAAATATGATAGGCGTAAGTATTAAAGCAATTATTATATCAAAAATAAATGATTTATTGTGTCATAAATTACTCCTTACTCTAGTAGACACTGTCAGAAATTTATTATATGCTAGTCTCTCGCATCACAATTGTGCGTCTTTTTTTGGCGCATTTTTTTCAACACACAAATGAGTCACATGCCATCTTATCTGGTCACTTAAGTGATAATCTGCAGATTATTGATGGTGCGAAAATGGAAGTTAGATAACTTATAGGATTAGGTGCTTAATTCAATTTGTATAAAAATTTGCAGATTAAAACTAAATCGATTCAGCATAAATATCAATAATCAGCTTAGCGAATTGAATTTAGATAGTGGAGGTCGTTCTGGAGACTATAAATTGATTTAAAGAAGTATTGATAGATTTCATTACTAACGGTCTTTTTGAATTTTAAATTTTGAGAGGGGAAGGCAACTTAAAAATTCAAATTTTTGTGACAGTTAAATATTGAATTTTTAAAATTCGTATTCAATTTAATCTAAAACAAAACAAAATATTCACAAAAAGCTTCTCAGAAGACGCCGATGTTTTACTACCTAGTCTACTTATAATAAAATTTCCTAATAATCCTCTAAATCATCTTGTAAAACAATTCATTTATGGCTCAAAGATAAAATATTTAACAACAAACTTAAAAACTTAATAAATCCAATCAAAAATTTTCAATTTTATTGCCAATTCCGACAATGTGAAGGAAATTTTCATATACGATACATCAAATAAAGACTATCGACTATGAATATAAACGAGAGAATTGATTCTTCTTGTTCGCTTGCCCACCTCTGCAAATATCATCAAGATGATTGAAACAAAGATTCTTCTCATTCCAGCTTCAATTTACGATTTGCAATAAATTTCTTTGCCTTGTCATTTTCCATAAATATGTACTGGGTCATTTATTGTTAATATTAAAAAATATTTTTAATGGGTCTTCTTGTTTTCCTTGAATCGAGCACTTAAATACCAAACCACACGTCGCAAGAACACGTGGCATGTGTTTTAAATTTTTAACGGTTTTATAAAATTCAAAATTAGCAGTCAACTTCAAGTCAATAAAATTCATTCAATTTTTAAAAGCAGTTATATCGATTGAATGCCACCCAAAGAAGCTTTAATTGCAAAAACTTCCGCTCATTGCCAAAATTAATGCACGATTTGCTAGATTTCCTAATATAAAACTTAAAATAAACAATTTGGATATCATAATGTGCGACTAGTCATATGGTTAATTAATTTTATAACACGGAAATCCAGTCGTAATGTGTGAGAGAAATTTTTTGACAGCAACCTAGAGTAAATGAGAATTTTTAGCTGCCCAGTCTACATCCAATTCGCGTATATCATTTTGCACATAATCGAAAAAAGAAAAAAAAAATATTTTCAGTTCCTAGACTGTATGGCGACAAATTACATTATCGGTATATAAATCCAAGAAATAAGAGAGTACAACGGAGGATTGTGATGCTTCATGACTTTTTTCGTACCAAAGTTGTCCCACCTGCTGCGAATATGTTATCAATGGTAAGCTAAAAATGTTAATATTATTAACCGATAAAGACATTACTTAAGACATCTTGAATGGTGTAATATCAAACCTCAATTAAAATTCGATCATGAGTTGCTTGCTGTGGGTAGAAATAAGCGTCGAATAGAAGTGTTAGGTGATCTAATATTTTATCTATAGTTATATCATCCATTTAAAAGCTATAAATTGAATCAATTTTGGATACTCATGGTATATGTATGCAAATCAGATAATTTTCACCTGCCAGGCATTTGTACATTGATACGAAAATTGAGACGAGAAAAAAAATACGTTGAAGGCGACCTTTAAAAAATCTATAAAATTAAATTGAAATTGAATCGGCTTTTGCAGAGTTTCTTGAACTATATATTTTATGAATTAGTGAGTTCTTGGTAAGGCTTACTGTTAGGAAGCTTTGTAAATTGGGCAATTGAAAGTTAATTTGTTTCATTAACGGTCATAAAATATTTAAACTTTTGAAAAAATAGTTGTTTATCAAAGACACGGCCCACATTTTGAATGGCGTCTTGGAAAAACAAGAATTGACGTTAATTTGATATGTATCTTGGATAAATAAGATATTACCATGATTTGATGTCTGTCTGGGCCAAATATAATTTGAGATGTGTCTTGGATTTAATATCCTTTGCAATTCGTGCTATGCCTTGGCTCAAATCTCAAAAGTCGTTGATTTTTAAAAAACTGAATGCCTTTAAACGTTTTATAGCAATTTAGCCACTGACGACCCTTATTAACCGTGTTTATTTTACGATCGTTGCAATTTTTCATCCACTTAACATTTTATTAAGACCGTACACGCTCCAAATTGCTATAATTCTTACAAAAACAAACAGATAGTTCCGATTACAGACGAGGAAATCTTAATTTACTACTTTCGTTTGACCATTTGGTATGCAGCAATAAAACGTAGAAATGTACGCAATTTCCACCCACATTTAGTTTACACATTTTGTGACATTGAATTTGAAAATAATTTATCTGCATTAAAATAATCTATAGAAATGGCACCATGGAGCAACAAAAGCAGCACAAAGATGGGCCGACAAGTGTTATTTACTCACACATGACACTCCAAAAGGTAAATAATTATTTTGCATATCTCTCTATCTCAGTCTGTTCTGGATGTTACAATAAATTTGCATTTTAATTTAGGTAGATGGATAAATAATTATGGAAGCTGTGGACAGAATATCTTCGTATCAACACATAAGGTTCCTTGGTAAGCGTTTCAGCTTGATCAATAAAAAATGAAATAATTTAAGCTGTTGACTGCTGAACAAGACAAGAAACGAGAGACGTTTTTTTTATATATTCGGAAATGCAAAACGTCACTCGATGATGGTGACAACTAAGTTTTCAGTCAGACAATAAAGCGACAAAATTGTTGATTTAAAACTGAATAAACCACACACAGTGGCTCATTTTTTTCTGTGTTTCTGTCATATTTTACATTAGGCTATTTGCTTTACGGACATGGTTTGAGGAGAGACACAATTTCACATATGGATCACATCGTAATGATCTGAATGTCGTTGGACATTTTACACAAATGATTTGGGCAAGCACTCACAAAGTTGGATGTGGATTGAGTAAATGCTCTCGTGGTGGACCTAGAAATAAGCCATTTTACAATTATGTATGCAATTACTGTCCCATGTAAGTCGAGGTCGTTCACAAATGACTGTTATCTTGGAATGTGCTTCGCCCGTTGAAATTTTAAAATTGGATATTTTATGGACGTCATTTGTGAACAACCTTTTTATGCAATTTATCTATGATTAGAATTTATTATAGTGCAATTTATTATGATGGAATTGACAAGTCAAGTTCATTCTCATCATTTCCTTAATAAGTACTTAATAAACGTCGTTCATATTATTTTATATATCTCAGAGGCAACCGTATCGAGAAATTGGGAACGCCATACAAAAAAGGCAAGCCGTGTTCAGCATGTTCACAGTCCTGTCATTCAAAAAAGATTAGGTTTACAGCATCAATGTTTTTTTATTTTCGCATATAATTGAATTAATCTCAATTGAATATCTTAATTTAGATTGTGCCTGAACCCTTGCAATTCTGCTGATATGTGGGCTAATTGCAGATCACTTTATAAAATGTGGAGTGGATGGTTATGTCGAACAAATACGACGGAGGGATTAAATAGACGACAAAATTGTCTGGCAACATGTAACTGCTCTCAAAAGCGTCTTATATACGATGAATGAAAATTAAGATTGAAATGTTGAGCATTAAGACAGATTATGTTGCCAGCCATATGTACATAGATATTAAAAATACTTATTGAAAAACAACAACGATGTATGTTTTAAGAACATTTGTGAATATGAAGAAATATTGTAAAAACAATTCACTTTATACTTTTTATTCATTCATGCTGACTGCTTTCGTAGTTTAATTAATTTTTTGTAAAAATTCTATGCTTAACTGCCAAATAAAATTCGAAATTATTCCGAAAAATTTGATTTGTTTTGAATTTCAGAGAACCGTTAAAAATTTGTATTCACTAAAGTCGACTGTAGAAAAGCAAAACATGATCATCAGTCATTCTAAATGCGATCATTTTACTCGCTGACTTGTTAAAAATCACAAGAAAAAGATAAATTTTAAAAATTATGAGTTTGCGTGAAGAAATTTTGAATATAATCTTGACAAATCGGATTAAGAAAGATGCTTCCGCACGCTCTCTACAATCTGTGCCATAAAAATATTAAAATATGATGGCTTATTAAAGATGTGAGCGAATTATTTGAAGAGAGTTCATAGCTCTGTAAATTATTAATTAATGCATCATGTCATTTGATATTCACTGAAAGGCTTTTAAATCATACATAAATCAGACCACGATTGTGGCTTTTTGAAGTAATTAATTATAGTACAAATTATTGTAATGCTGTGTCTCTGAGAGCCTCTTATGCTGATTTTGTGCGATTTATGAGATCCAGTGGATGAAAAACTTCAGTCTTATAAGAATCAAGTAAATAAAATTCTGACAAATTCACAGCAAGATCTGCGCTGCTTTGAAATTCATTCATATTAATCCAGAGCGCAAGAAGAAAACAATACCAAGTTTAAGAACATCGCTGTAATCTTCAAATAAGCTATAAATCACAGACATCACTCGCCATAAGCAGGCATTTTATTTCAATTGATTTAGTTGACAGTTCTAAAAGAGCGAAAATCGCTTTCAAGACATGATGATCCATATGCAGCCAGTCAGTGTATAATTTTATGTGAATTTCTACAAATTGGGTGTGGAAAAATTTTATCTCACGTTTTTTATTTTGGCAATAAGTTTCGTCACGCATTTAATCGGACGAGTTTCTGGTCCATTGATACAGCCAGCTTGGATATATATATATACACAAAGAGATGAAGATGAAATGAATAAATTTTAAGTTTAAAGATAGAACTTTTTTCGATTTATAGATTCATATCTGCTTAATGCGAAAAGCAGTGATCTGCGAATAATCAACTGACTGCAACTGACTATAAGATTTACGATGTTTAAAATAAAATTGCATATTTCAGCTTAATTATATCCTTTTTCTTTCAATTGATGATGTATTGAGTTTATTAGCAAAAATTTTACAAATTCCACAAATTTTTCGACTTATTTTATAAGCATTAAAACTATTGGGTATATATGAACAACTGCCATCTTAAGGATGACAGTATCCAATACATTGTTAAAACATTAAAATGGCACAAATTGACGATTTATCTACACGATAGATGCAAATCCTTAGTTTCGCTTTGATATAGTTACACCTCTTGAAGAAACAACTCGGCCAATTGCAGGAACGACTCTGTTGCTTGAATTTACTGTAACACATTCAAAAAAGATCAGAAAATGCTTTTAAGCTATCTTAAAAGATAGTTAAAGTTCCAGTAATACTCACATCTAGAAGAGACTGCTGTGCTAGACGGAATTGGAGCCCGATTAGAACGTATAATGGATGGACGTGGATTTATTACTGCACGACTGCTAGTTATTGGATGATCATCATCCTTAATTTCCACAACAGGGGGGTTATGAAGAATACACTTGATGCTTTTAACACCATCACTAATTTTATTAAGATATTCACAGATTCCATGTAACTTTCCATTAAGTTCCTTATTTTCATTTTCTTTTTTCTTCAATTCTGCATCCTTAGTCTTTAATTTTGCATCCTTTTCTTTCAATTTCTGCTCTAATTCTTCCAATTTTTTCTTTTGCTCAACAGACTCATCCAGCAAGTTATTTACTGCTGTATTATCCAATGAAAGACGTTGCAAATGCACTCGTCCAATATAACTGGGGCTATCATAAGTAGTTTGTCTACATACTGGACATGTTCTTGAATTCTTTAGCCACAACTTGATGCAGGAATCATGAAAGACATGTCCACAACTTTTTATGACAACTGAATTTTCAGTGATTTAGAATGAATTTCATTAATTAAGTTACAATTTTTGACTTACCAGACATTTTATCGCTATGCTGCCAAGCAGAGAATTCCTCAGTACAGATTACACATCCAACACCCATTTTAGAATGCTTTAATTTAATTAAACTTGATATTTTGATGACACAGAACCTCACTTTTGAAAAGCGCAAAATAAATTCAAGGGGTTGTCACTTGCACAAAAAACCAAGACACAGTAAAAAATTTGTAATGTTTCAGAGCAAAAATTTGTAAGGTTTCAGAGCAAAAATTTGTAAGGTTTCAGAGCAAAAATTTGTAAGGTTTCAGAGCAAAAACTTGTAAGGTTCCATAGCAAAAATTTATAAGGTTTTAAAAAATATCCGTTAAAAATCTAGAAAAACTAGTGTATCGGGTAGAAACCCAATGCGGATATATTCACACCGTACCATCAAAAGTATTATGGATAAACCAAGCTATATATTTATATAAGGTATAAAGCTTAACGAACATTCTTTAAAATTTTTTTTCATCCAATGTTGAATTTTATAAAAATCACAGTAAACTTTTTTTTGAAAAATTCGTAAGAAAGGAAAGTTTTTTGCTTTTTCTGAAGCAACGGCTGTTCCTACCTTGCCCAAAAACAACACAGCTCTTCTATAGAGCAGCACGGATCAAATGTAAAAAACTAGAAGTCTCTACGATGTCGCGTTATTGAGATTTCTTGCTGATTAACTTGGGGGCTGTTCACTTATTACGTAACGCGAAAAAATGACTTTTTAGACCCCCCCCCTCGTAACAAAATTTGTATGAAAAAAAAAATTCCTTGTTTGAACCGTAACAAAATCTTAGACCCCCCTCCCCCCCTAAAAGCGTTACGTAATAAGTGAATGGCCCCTTGCTTGTTTACTTGCTTACAGAAAGCGTATTTTGCGATTTTCTCAGCAATGCCTCAGTCAATTTGAAATCTGTTTTTTGCAGATGATGTGAAATTTCAGGCACAAACTTTTTATTTCTAAACATTTTAAGCTATCTTGCTCCATATCCTCACAAAATTCTAAAAACTGATTTTTCAATCTGAACAAAACCAATAGATTCACACGTGAATACGGTGTAAATATAAAAAAGATTTTAATTTCAATTTAAATGAAAATCCAGCATGAACATAATATATAAATCAGAAGTAGAGAATTATAGGGAATAGAATACTCATTAGTGTGGCAAGTATGAAGCATTTCGAACATAATTTTCACGCTTCACAACAACTCTTTTTCTTTCTTTTCTTTCAAAACAATGAATAAATTTTAAACCCTCAACTTTTATAACGACAAGAGCTAATGTTTTTATTCATCAAAAGTGCTCACATACACACATGTGAGTAATATGTATGCAGTACTCAACGAGACGTCACGGGACGAATGTAGAAAGAGTGGTTTAAAAAATTGGTAATAATATGGAAAAAATGTACACACAAGTGTAACAGGTGAGCTTCTCATTCATTTTCGCTTTTATTTCGACCCGTAAAATTAATTTTCATTGCTTATTTGCTTTACTGTATTTTATATATTTTACATTTTCATTCAACAGCGTGTTTGTTACGAGCCAATTTTCGTTGTTTTTTTATGAAATGCTTTACTTTAGTTCATCGATGGACTTTAAACGAGTAACAAGTGGTAATTTCGTGCGGCATAAAGTACCTGTTTATTTGTTGGTAATTAATATGCATCATTAGAATAGTGCTAGATATTCAAAAATGTAAATAATGAGCTATGAAGTAATGATTTGAAGAAATCAAACGAAAAGTTACACAAAAAAAATCTATAATTAATATTTGCATAGCACCAAAAAAAAGAGTTCACAAGTTAACAGTAATGTCGAATAAAATTAAATAAAATAAATAAGTGAAAATATTTTAAATCCACAAATAAAAAAAAGAAGTACTTTAGTGCGAAATAATGGAGATTTTGAACATGAATACACAACAAACGAAGCCACAAGAGATGGTGAAACTTACAAATGGTCAATTTTATGACGGGAGTATTCGGACAGTGAAGCAACGAGCTCATAAATTTAATGCAATTGCAATTAGCAATATAGGCGCATCATCTACAAGCAATATCCCAATACCTAATAAATTGAATGGAAGTAGTAATATAAGCAGCATGATAAAAGTCAACAATACTAAGAATAGTGAAAATGCAAAGAAAAATGTGACAATAAATAACAGCAGCAGCGTGACTACTGCTGTAGCTGTTGATAAAAACAATAATAATAATGAAGATAACCATAACATTAAAATTAATATTGTTAATAAATATACCACAAATAAAAATACGACTCATGTTGCCACAAAAAATATTAATACAGAACAGGAAAAGGTTATTAGTGGAAACCAAATTGAATTGGCAACAAAAAGTGACAATAATATCATTGGAACTAACAATAACAATACAAGTAAAGTGTTGCTTAACACAAATGACGTAAAAATTAAAATCAATCAATTAAATCAAACAAATGTTGCGTCAGTTCAGCCATCCACTAAATCAAAAGCTCCTTTACCGCCACCTCTAATGTTAACGAACTGGAATGCAACTGGTTGGATACGAATATATTGTGGACCAGATCGCTCGGAAATTTCCATTGAAGATCCAAATAGAATGGTCATGGTTTATGCCAATTCTACGACAAATGAAGTTGTCAAGGACATGGGACTTCCGGGGGATTATACGATGTGGGTTCAAATTGGTGAAAAATCCAGACGATTGGATGATTTAGAGAAGCCGTTTCAAATACAGGAAGAGTTCCTTAAACAGATAGGATATTTTGATGAATCAAGAAGATCAAGACTTGGAATTGATCCTGATCTTAAATATCTGATTAGATTTCATATCGGTCCAGTGGATATTCCGTTATGTAAAGGCGCCAAAAAATGTGGAAACATTGAGCTACTTAAAGGTCTCGTTTTCCCTCAATGGAGACGAAGAACAATTGCAATAATTGGAACAAAACTTATTGTCTATCCAGCCAATCAAAGTTTAATGCCAGAGATGTATGAGCTATCTGGTTCAGAAATATTTGAACATAGTCCCGTTTACAATCGATTGATTATAAAAATTGTGCCAAAAATTAGTGATAGTCTTAATAATACGATGGAGAATTTGAGTCGAAATAAAAGTGCTGAATGCTTAAATGCAACGAGCACTAGTTCTGGTAGTCCAAACAGTAGTTTGAATGGTCATCATAACAGTAATTTAAGCGTTAGCTCCCAAAGTTCAGAAGTTGTGTTATTCCTCGGATTCGAAGAATCGTGGGAGCGTGATTTATGGTCTAATTGGTTGATGGAGGTAAGAATAAAGTTATTTTCTCCGCTTCTCCCTTTTCACCTTTTTATTGAAGCATCTTGAGCAATTCATTTGCGTTTTAATAAAAAAAATTAAAACTCTTGCAATCCATCCGGTTGCAACGACACGAAGGTACAGAAAAAGAAAAATCGAAATTTGCGAACGATTTTGCAAGTTTCAATTGTTTCAAATTGTCAGTAATTGGTAATTACCTCAAAATAGAGCAAAACCTTTTAGTTAAAGTTCACGGGCATGAGAAATCTTAGATTTACCGTTTTCTAGATCTGATAAATGACTTGTTTGGATATTTGATAATGCTAAGCTGTAGTGGGAGGCATGTAGTATGAGTGAGTAGAGGGTTGTTGATTAACCTTTGCCGGGGGGTTGTTCTTGACCTAAGGTAAATTTTTAATTTGCTTCCATAAAGTAAGAAAAGGCAAACTCTACTAATTAATGACGAAATGTTTGCTAAATGAATAGAAAAAGATTCAAAAAGCGAAAGCGAAAATATGAAGCAAAAAACATATACACACGTACTTATGATGGACGCTAATAGGCGAAACACCACATGTGAGTTTTCACTTCAAAATATTTCATAAGATCTCCCCTTTTATTCATCACAATCGCGTATATATATCGTTGCTCATGTTATTTACATGTCCATAATGTACTTCATTTCTTCTTCATTACGATTGCCTTCCAACTCTTCATTATTATTTTTTCGTGTTATTGTTTTAATCTGAGATCTTTATTTAATTCACTGCTTTGCTAAAGCCATCATGCGTGAAAGAAAATTTGAGAAGAGGGAATTCTTATGCATGATGATGATGATTTCACCTACATCTGCCTTCTGTGGCTTTACATAATACTATTTGCCAATGTTACCAAATATACACTTTTTTTGTATCATTATTTGCTCAACGGAAAAATTATTTTCTCGGGCATTGGAGTAATTAAAAAATTAACGTTAGGTTCAATTTTTTTTCTTAGTAAATCACGTTATAGACCTTTTTCTTTGGGGAATTAGAGTGTTTTTTAAAAAAAAATCATTCAACTTACTCAAATGAGAGCAAAGAATATTTTCTAGGCTAATGGCTTTTGTGTCCTTAATATTGTAATAAAGATGGCTGTCAGATGAGTTCTGTAGAATGTCATATGACATTGAATGTAAAGAAGAGTTAGAGAAGATGGGGACCAAAACTCATTCTGGTCAATTTTCAAACATCATCTCTGAACGGTTTCCTTTAGTAGTCACCTGTAAATTCAATTATTTCATTCGTGGATATTTTAAGTGAGCATATAACCAACTTCAAATGAACTTGTTGGTGAACTAAGTGTATGACAAATGCAACATCAAATTGAGGATGGACATACAAACACCTCTGAATATTTTAACTGTCTATTTAAATTAATTTTTTCACACTTGTCAGACCAAAAATTCACATCAACACTATAAAAATTCCCATAGGTTCATGACCTTCAATAATATTTCGCTATCATATAACACAAAAACTCAAATTTTAAATCTCATGATGCATAGATCATAAATTACTTAATTTCATTTTTCTATGCAGGGAAGTTCGTTGATGACAGACATAGTCATTAAAAATCACTTCTCATTTGACTTTATTAAACATAGAAGAAGTAAATATATATCATTTTCAGAAGAAATGGTGTTATAAAATGACATATCAGTAGTCAGCAGAGCATGTCAAAATTATACGATAGATTTGTTGTAGTCGCTGTCTTTCATTGAAATCAGGGTAGAAGATGAAGAGAAGACGAAATGAAAGAGAGCGAGCTTTAAGTCCCAAAAAAAGCTCTTAGCTTAGAAAAAGAAATAACAATAAGTCACATGCATAGCTTCATGCTTAGACATTCACTCATACTGTCGAATGAGAAGAGAATGACAATTTTCCATTAACAGACACAAGATTTACGACTACTTACATAAACCTACTCCTCAATTCTTCTGTATTTGTATGATTCATTCAATATATTTTCCATTTTTTTTTCTTATACTCAGTACGTCTTGTTTAGTCTTGAAGATTTTGTCATTGTGATTAGATCGAAGTAGATTGACGGAGTTGCATTTAGAAATTCAAATTAATGTTGCAAGCTGATTGCAATTAAGAGGAAAGTTTAAAGACTCGTGTGAACAATGAGAATCGAAAAATGGTTATGATTCATATTAATAATGACGCAATGAGTGTTCGTTCGCAAAGAAGTCGTGTTACATTTTTTGAGGACATTGAGATGGACTCACTCGAGCCAGAAGTTAATAGTGTAAATGGAAAATATGAGCTTAGTACGATTAAAGAATATGATAATGAATTTGTTATCGCGAGTGTTGAAGCATTTAAAGAGTTTGATGTGAGTGGATTGTTCCTTAATTAATCTAGATTATTGTGATGTTCTTAGGTCTATAAAAAATATGTTAACCTAGAAAAATGATTAAAAAAATTTCTTAAAATTTACAACTCATAAAGATATCATGATGACAAGATGAACAGAACACATACATGTGTAGTGATTAAAATAATGTCTCTCTATGCTCTAAAAGTTCAGAAAAATTACCTCGCATCTATGTGCAGTTATTTTATGTGTGCTGAATTGATAGTAAACATGATTTTTACTTTTCACTGTAGGCAACAACGGAGGTGTGCGAGCCGAAAAGAATGGATATCACAGGTTCCGGATTGCACATTATGCCGGAAGTGATATTACAGTCGAGTCATTTGGTCGAGGAACTGTTAGCAGATCATAATAAATTGCAAGAGTCCGCATTAAAGGCACTCACAGAGTTCAAGAAACTTCGTGTGGTGAGAGTAAGTTCAAATTGTTTTAAAAAATTCCCCGAGCAACTAATGGACATCCAAAATTTGACTGTATTGGATATATCGAAAAATGAAATTGATCGATTACCGGACAATATTTTTAAAATGGAAAAGTGAGTATGTAAATAATCTATAGCAGCACAGCATTACAAAACATTTTGTTCCTCATAATATATGAATTCAATTGAAAGTGTTGCAAGAATTAAAAATGCTGAATGAGAGATAGAATCAAACCGACAAAGCAACAATATTTACCTTTTTACACATCAATGATTTCAATGCGCTACTAGAAGTTCCCTCTTTTTTTCCACAAAATAAAATAATAATAATATAAAACCAAAAAAATAGAGACTCAATAGATAGAAGAAGAAGCAGCTTTGAAGGTCTATTTATTATGTTTTGATGACTTCCAATTCCTATGCATGATTATTCAAAATTAACTACTCATTATGCTATATCAATTTAGTATTTTTGTGGTATATAAATTTTGTAATTCATTACAAGGTTGAATCAATTTCATGCATTGAAAGTTTTTTTTTTGCATGCTATTTTCAAATAAAATTTTATTTATTAGTCTAACTCTAATTTGCTTAATGCCTATGCAAATTTCATCTAATTATGTTTATCAAAAATCACGAATGCGTGAAAATGCATCTTAAAAGGTTTAGTGCATTTTCCGTGAAATGATAAAAATAGAACACAATTTTCCGATGAGAGAGTAAAAGTCGTTAAAAGCTTTACAAATCTTTTTGAAATTGAGCTTTTCAGTTTAAATTTCCGTAACTGAAATGTCTGAATGAATGAAAATGTTTTGTCATGCTTATTAGGTTTTGATTCTCTTCTCGCGATAGTGAACTTCTTATTAAATTAGCAAGACTCTACTTAGAAATTGATAATTCTAGATAATTATATAGCGATAAATGGAAATAGGCTATAATTCTATATGATTAAGAGATGAGAGTGACCTCCAAAAACAAGCAAGCGAGGATGTTTTTAAGATCTACATTTTCAAGCTTATTCTTTTTAATCTTTTTAATATTAGTACGAAATTAAAGGTAATTTTTCACAAAAGAACAATTAAATTCCTGGAATTTCTATTGTTCTTTTCTTGCTGACCCCCCTACCCCTTCCGGACGTCATTAGTGAACGGCCCTTTTGATTCCAAGAATTTTGTAGGACAATCGCTTAAGCTTTAAATTCCGGTACAGTCTTTGTCCTTAAGAATAGCTTTGTTTAAAAATGCTTCCGATACTCAAACAGTTAGAATTATTCAGAAGTTTTAAGCTCGAAGGTTTGCATCTTTCAAAATCCGGTCACAATCTCTTACCAATAAGTCTTTAGAGGTTGCCATGAAGGCAAGCAGAATGACTATTAAATTTTCTTCACAAATAACATCCAGTTCTATTCATTAAAGCGGCTTCATATAGAAATTCAAAGAATATTTACCAAACTTAAATCTTTCATCACTAAGCATATAAAAATTCAGAAAACCCATTAGTTCCCCATAAAAATATTCAAATTTCACACCCATCGGAAGTGATAATGACTTCCAAAATATATTTATGTGATCCTTCAACTCTTGAAAATTGCTCTTGAAAAACACTTCAAGTGAGAACTTGTGAGAGAAAAACTCACTTTGGAGCTCTTAAATTTTAAGTTTATTTAGAGTTTCCTACACTATTGCGCGTATAATTTTCACGTTGTTTTCAGTTCATTGTTAAAAGCCGTATCGTTCGTACACAAAAAAATATAAAGGCTTGTAGAATTTATTTTGTAAGAAAGAGAAATAAAAATTCTCAAATTTAATAATTCATAAGTGTAAATTTTAAATTGTTGAATGTTAATAAGCATTAATGATGGGTTAACGAAAGTATCAAAATATCTTGTATGAACAGGAAGAAGATTGAAGCATAATATTACGAAATAGATCCACTTAATAGAATCAGATGTTCAGAGGTTTTTATGATATAGTTTTGCATATGAATATAAAGTTAATAACACATCGTGAGTATCTCCAAAATCATCAGTCTGGAACCATCGCGCATATTTCTCTTCTCTCAGAAAATAATATTGTTTATTTCTAGCTTCAAATAACTTTGCGCTTAAAATTTAATGACATTTTCATTATGCAATGGTTTGAATACATACTGACCATTCCAAAAAAAATTAAATTAAGTCTGAGATTCTATAAAAAATTGCTATTCATACGTTAGTCGTGCTTTGTGTGCTTCCTTTCCACATCAGCGACAATGACAAGTGAGAGATGAGTCACACATGACCTATCATTGTATTTTAATTCATTCGTTTTTTGTTTTTTTTTTTGGTCAATAATCGTCTTCAAAGACCTTGATCATTAGACGTTGGCTAATTTCTTAAGGTGGAAAGGACTTTCAATTTCAATTGTAAACTTTTTTTTGCAGCTCAGAAATATTCTCACACTTCCACGATCTTTCTTCTGCTACCTTCTTCATGGTCGAATAGGATTTTGAATAAATTAATATTTTATAGTTTAAGGTATATGAAGTGGATTTAGAAACTTACTTAATTTATAAAACGGATGGGGAAATGCAGCGCATTTTTTTTTTGCTGATTGGATGTGTAGATAAGGAAGTTGATTGAAAATTTTATTCGGTAATTTGAAGATAACAACTTCGTTTTGTAGATTTTATGTTGATTGATGTCTCACAGTTTAAAAATCTATACATTGAAGCAGCAAAAAGCAGAGATGCTTAACACCGGGTTTTAACCAAATATTCACATTGCAAAACTTACAGGAAGTTGCTTTTATATCTTCATAGAAGACCCATTGAAATATGTTCTATCTTCAATCCTTTGAGATTCAAGAACTACACCTTTAAGGACAAAATGAAGACAACACTTTATTTCCTCAACAATCAACAACTTCAACATATGTGAAAACTTCTTCATAATATTGAAAGTGAAGCTTCTTCTTTCTCTCTCCTTGCCTATTGTAGCATTAAAAATCCATTGAAAAATTTATGAATATTTTCACTTTCAATCAAGCTATTTTCATTATGTGGTGAATAGATTATGCTGTATGCAATATAATTCATGAAAAACTTTTTCTCATTTTATAGATTGGAAGAGTTGCGGATAGAGCATAATTTACTACAAAGTTTACCGAATACACTTAAATTATTGAGAAATTTGAAAAGTTTGCAAGTATCTAATAACAGAATCAATAAGCTCCCTGACTTTATGATCGCAATGAGATTTAATAACGGTGTGGTAAGTGCTTGCTTGTTATTAATATAATTAGTGTAAGCAAAATTTCTAATTTTAATTGATGACTTAGGATTACACAATTCAAAATCAATTGGACATGAAAAATGGAACAAAGAATGAGGAAATATCGAGGATTGACTACAGTAATCCTCCACTTAAAAAACTCAATTTGCGAGCTAACCATCTGAAAGGAAACATAATACTTGGAAATTTTACGGTAAATTTGATGATTCGAAACTTTGTCTTTAGATCGTTTTAAGTTATGTCTATGGCTTTTCTCTTTTAGTACTTGACACAACTGGATATGAGTGAAAATTCAATCGAATATTTGGATCTTTCAGCCTTGGATAAAATAGAAAGTGTTCAGTGCTGTAGGAATCAAATTAAAGAATTAACACTTAACGGACGGGTTTTAAATTCACTTGTTGCATCCAACAACAGTAAGTTCTTCATTTTATAGTCCCTACCCTAACAGACAAAGTGCATGCTCTCAATGAGTATGCTCACTAAAATATCAGTACATTTAAGTGATCATACTCATTGAGAGCATGCTCTTTGTCTGTTCGGGCTATTTATCAGATTAATTATACTTCAACAAATTTACTTGTAGATTTATGCAGACTGATTGTCAAGCCACTACCAAAAAGTATTAGACACATCGATGTAAGCTTCAATAATCTAACAGAGATTCCAGAATGGCTAAATTGCTGTCACCAGTTAAGGACACTCTACGCAAACAATAATAATATATCAACGTTGCCAGATAATCTCTTTCAAAATGAAAACGGCATGCTGCATACAGTTCAATTGGCTTGCAATAGACTTGTTAAATTACCACCTATGCCGAAGAAAATATTACCGATGCAAGAGCTTTATATCAATGGGAATCAGATTGAAGATTTGCCAGAATTTTTCTTCACTGCATGTGAGAATTTAATTCTCTTGAATGTGTCCAGTAATAAGTTACTTACACTGCCAATTGTAAATGATGGCAACCGGAATCAGTTGGAGAGGCTTTATGCTACAAATAATAACCTTACTGATAGAGTCCTTGATACATTAATCAATTTAACGAGTTTAAGAATACTGCATTTGTCATATAATCGTTTAACAGCACTTCCAGAGAGTTGTATAGCTAATTGGGCGGAACTAGAAGAGTTGAATATTTCTGGCAATAAACTTCAGCATTTACCTGATAATTTATCGAATTTAAGGAATTTACGAGTTCTTCGAATTCATTCCAATCAATTACAGTCCACACCAGCGTTATCTAAAATTACATCTCTTCGCGTCCTCGATTTGGCACACAACCAACTTGATAAAATAAATCTTATAGTTCTTGTTTCTAAGAAGCTCCAATTTCTTGACCTCTCATGCAATAATCAACTTCAAGTTGATGCTAAACAATTACAAAGCTGTAGATCTCAACGTCCAATGAGTTTAGTTGATGTATCAGGCAAAAATCGACCTTCTCTTCCAACAGTACCGAATTCAAGTCAAGATATTCAAGAGATTGATCCGCCATGGAAGGTTGGATTCTCTGAAACAAGTGGAAATGCAAACAAATTATATATTGCTCAATTAAGACTACCCGGTTTTTGTAATGCTGAAGGATTATTTGGCATTTTTGATGGTGAATTAAACAATAGCTTACCAAATATGCTCGTAAAAGTTACACCAAAGATTTTACTAGAAGAGAGGACGGTAAAGGAAACATCTAATGACTATATGAAGTACACTTTATTATCAGCACATCGTGAACTGAAACAGCAGGGTCAAAAAGTTGGCATCACGGCAACAATTTGTCATATTTCGAGAACAAAAGTGACACCTGACGCAAATAATTATCATAATTACCAATCAAATGGCAGAAAATTTATTCTCCGAGTTGCTTCTGTCGGAGAGGGAAGTGCAATTTTAATTCGTCAAAATGGCATTTTGAAATTGACAGTTGGAACCAGTAAAACGAAAATTGGCTGTAGTTATAACTTTCCCAACACCATTCCCGATCCAGAATGCAATGAGATTATTCTTGGTGACAATGACGAATATTTAGTTGTTGCAAATAAGAAGCTTTGGGATGTTTTGACACCCCATGATGTTGCCAATGAAATTCGAAAAGAGGATAATGTATTGCTTGCATCAAAACGACTTCAGGATGTGGCGCAGAGTTTTGGCGCCGAAGAAAACTTGAGTATTATTGTAGTGAAATTCAATAATCTTGGTACGGATATTGACTTCTTGATGAGAGAGTTACGTCATACTATAAGAAAAAAACCGAACTCAAGTGTAATTTCCGGCTTTTGTAAATGTGGATGTTGCTGTGAAGCAAGCAATTGTTGTCATTCAAATAATGGACAGTTTACACGTCATCCTTCAGCAAGAAGTGATCGCTCATCACCAAGTGGACAAAGTGATCAAGCATCAATTAGTGACAATCAATCACAAGCGACAAAATCAAAGGATGGCAATAGCTCGACAATCGGAAGTGCTGCATCAAAATCAATCATTGGAACTGACAAGAAAAGTTTAAGGAATGGTATCGCAAGAGCTGTACGAGCAAGAATTGAGGAAGAACGAGAACAAGAATCTGATTCTGTGATGTCAGAAGAGCAGTTTAAATGTTGGGAATATATGCTCGAACAAAATACACAGCTTTTATTTGACAAGGAACTGAATACAATTTCTAAAGCATTTACAAAACGCAATCAATCGAATTTAAATCGCAAGCATGTTAGATCATTGTCAACATCAACGCCAATTATTCATAATCAATTGGATCCTAAATCGAATTTCGCTCAGTTTTCATCGATTTTAAATCCGCCAAATCATTCAAACTCATCGCTCAATTTGAGTACCATTCATCAACCTGTTGATATATCCAATCAAAATAACTTCTTGTCAAAACATTTTGGAAGTGCTCGATCTTTTCAGCCACACACACAGAACTTATTTAAGCCAATACGAATGACTCCGACTGGTGCACCAGCTAATCGACCGTCATTTAGTGGTGGCATGCATGCTGCATACTTTGGATCATTACAACGTTTAATGCCTTACAATTTAGAATATGATTTCGGAATGATACAGGAACGACCAGGACTTGAGGAGGTTGAAGCAATTCCAGATGCTGAAAATAGAATGCAACAGTATTGGGGCGTTGCAACCACAGAACTATAAAAATAGGAACAAAATTTTAATTATTATTTTTTGATTTTTTAATTGTGACGATTTTTGTTTCAATCATTCTTTTTATATTATTACAACTTATAGACTATAAGACTAGATACAGTTCTCGAAAAAAATATTACAATTAGATAAATACTGTGCATAAACACACTCGTAAATGTTTGCACAATTTTCAATCAACCTGATCTCTTGAAAAGGGCTCAGGCTTGAATATCTTTTCTTGTTTCTCTTTTACAATTATTTTTTAAGGTATTTAATGTTATTATTCCTTTATTAAGTTTTCATCATGAAAATTATAGTTAGGAAACTGTCTTTTTTTTGCATTATTAACAAGATCAAAATAAATTCTTATCAATTGTTTTTATCATCATTTGAATTTTGGTATTTCTTTCTCATTAATTTACTTTCATTTGATCACCAGCTTAAGAACGAAATGGAATTAAAATAAAAGATTTCTCTCACAGCAAAAAATTCATTTAATGAGCGATAATACTGACTGGAAACGCTTCTTCTTTTATTTTATATCCTTCATTGAAACATTTAATAAATTTTTATTATCCTTCCTATTATTTCAAGAATGAGTCATAAAGCATTTGTTTTTTATTATTATAAAAATTTTCTGGACTGAAAAACTGAATGTACTTCTCATATGCATCCCTTATTCTTTCTTTTTTTATTCGAGACTTTTGTGGCAGCAACGAAAAAATTAAAGTAAATGAATATTAATTATTCGTGTACGTTCTCATGTCTGTGTGTATACGTGCGTGCTCTCTACATTAAAGTATTTGGTCAAATATAATGGATAACAAAAAATGAGACGTAGAGTACAAAATTACCATTCATAACGATTGTTTGACTTTAAAGGTGTGCCACCAATATAATGTATCGTTTTCATTATGTATAGATATAGGTTTTTTAGCTCTAATCTATCTAACCTAGATATCAGTAATGTGATGAAGATTGATTATTTGTTGGGTTGTTCGTGAGTGCTGATGAGCTCGCATTCTCGCCAAAAATTGATTCTGGCGATGGAGATGCTGGAAAGTCAGGATACCCGTGAGCGGGACTAGAATCGTTACTTAAATCGCTTACTGTGCTCCCCTGTAGATGTAACATCGAACTCACTGGGTTATCTACATGGAATCAAAGTAATTTTCATAAATGTTTTGTCCTTAATGGATTTAATCAACCATTTACCGAGCGGTGTATAAACAATGTTGTCAGGATATGAGTAGTGATGATTTTGACTCAATGGGTTTGGTGAATGACTAGATAAATACGGTGGTGGACTAGCACTGCTGTGTATATATGAGTTGCGACCACTATGTGGCGATGCTCCATCATCTAATCCCATATTTATGGTACTATAGCTATCGTTACTTAAATCTATGGATACACAATTTATGATGTTAGATTCTGTTTTATGAGAAAGTCGTTCAAGTCCTTACCATGATGACTAAAACTATCCAAATCAACCTTTAATTCGTCTTTATCGAGAAGTTTACTAGGCGACGAGCCTCCTTTCATAGATCTAAAGTATTGGCTCCATCTGGTCCTGCCAGCGTCCTTCTTCAGTCGTTTCTCTTTAGCTCGTCTGAATATTACAAAATTGTTCTTTATTATCATCAAAATTCAAAATTTTAAATAAACTTGCTTACCTATTTTGGAACCAAACTTGCACGACTCTCATATCGAGTCCCGTGTCTTGAGATAATTGTTCCCTAACGTGTCTGGCCGGTTTTGGACTACTGTTGTAAGCACTTTTGAGTGTCTCTAACTGCTTCGCGGTAATCGTTGTTCGTGGACGTTTGTTTGATCCTTCGCCGTCTATAGATCCATCAGATAAGTACATTCCTACATGATTTAGACACACAAGTTTTAAATGAGTGTGAGTCAATTAAAGGAAAAATAAACCATTACCTTTAGCCTTCGCCGCTTCATAATCCGGCTTACAAACGAGCTTACGATCTTCCATTAAATAGAATTCATCGCCAGTATTTAATTGTCGTGAGCATAGTGCACACGCAAAACATTGTAGATGATAAACATTGTCTTGTGCACGTCTAACAACTTGGGTGGGTGGAATTCCTAAATCACATGATGCGCATTTTGTACCGTAACGCCTGTTAGACCAGTAAAATCGGAATAGAAATGAAAATTGAAACCACAATGACTCTTCAATATTTCCATAAATTAATTTTGGTGGGAGATGGGAAGATCAGCAAATTATTATTTTTTTTTGTGGAGGGGAATGGGGAATGGGATGTTAATAGAACTTAAATTATCACTTACTTGAAAAAATCATCCTTGCAAAATAATTGACCATTTCTAATAAAACATTTTTCATTTAATTGTGTGTGGCAATCACAACATTGTAGACACTTTGCATGCCATGTTCGATCGGATACTTTGAGTATAAATCGATCTAATATAAATTCATGACAGCCTCCGCACTTAGGAATTGATGCTGCCGAACGATAAAGAAGAAGAAAAAAAAAGGTTAGAAATAAAATTTTTATTGCAGGTGATTTTTTTTTATTTTATTGTTGCCGTCGGGGTGCGAGAACTAGTGAATAAATTTTAGACGTCAGGCAATAATAGAGCTTTTTGGAAGCATAAATTTTCATTATAAATTCACTAAAATGACTTGCTCATTGAATTTTGAATCACATATGAGAAGGTCTGTATGAAAGTAACCGTAAAATGCACCTCAGGAAGCCACATACAATAATTGCACAACCTTAATTCATAAATATTAATATGTAATCACAGCTTACCCAATAAAAACTTGGGAAAATCATTTAAATTGATTGGTGGTACGCGGTAATCAGGACTCGAACTTTTACGCAATATATCACAATTATTATTGTTGGTCATTAAGGTGAGCATGTCCATTATATGAAATTTGATTGCAAAAAAAATAAAATATATATCCTTCACAAGAACTTCATTTAAGGATTCGTAAAGCGTTCTTATTTTTATTATTATGTGTTGTTTATGCAAAAGCCATAAAATTTTATTCAGTGTTTATGCTTTTTATTATGAATATTTTTCCGATACTTTATCTCACATTGAGATATTTTTAATGCACAATTTTCATTTTGTCTCATTGCAAAATTCAACATTTCTATTAGTTTATGCTAATTTCCATTCCATAAATCCATCACAAAAATTTTGTTTCATAGCACTATTTTATTTGGTCTCATAAATTATTGATTTTGTGACACTCAAAATGCTTTCACATTAATAAACTCCACAATATTTTATATTTCATAAATTGCCTCATTCCACTATCCTTTAAAAAATGATCCATGATACACGACGTAAATCACAGTTTATGAATATTTAAATCTTTCTCGTTCTGTTGTTGCCTCGTCCCTCCTTTTTTCGTTAACCTTGCCACTATAATATTTGGAAATATCCTCTTTAAATATTGTTCCTATATACTTGACTATGGATGTATATAAATTTATATTTATTTCAGTAGATCACTGACGGCGACGAGGCCTATTCAATCTCCATCAAAAATATAACTTCTTTTTAATGGTATGAGATGGAGAAATGGATGGATGATGAAGTGTATAAAAAGCACTTTATAAAAAAACAGAAGAAACAAAAAAATATTTATTTATGACTATCGCACATCCACGTTGATCAATATCCAGCAATCAACTGGATAAACTTTTTATTTGACATAATAATAATGTTGAATAAGAACGAGTAAAAAGTACATTATTTCCACAAGTGAGCAAAACCATTTGAGTAAACACATTGGTACACAAATACAGGATTGGTGGATGGTCCGAATATAAAAGGGTGTGTTCTTGCTCTATTCTTACGTGAGTGTCTACCAATACATGCTTAATATTTTCTCTCCAGAGCTACGATCGTAGAGAATGAGACTGTTGTGTCGTGTACAGAGATAAGAATTTTTCATGTTCCTAAATCCCTGATTCTCATTTTTTTAGCACACGAAGGTTTTAGTACATGCGAGTAGAATTAATACAATCAAACACGTCAAAGAATATTCATTCATCGTTCCCCTCCATATTTGTTGACATATATTTTGCGCATGTACGATAACAAATAAAGAACAGAAGTCTAGTTGTACGGAACATTTTTCGACTTTTTTCTTTTATTTCAAGAAGGAATGAAAATTATGAATTTATTTAAACGCATGTATACATAATACACAAAACGATAGACTGTCTATTTATTTTGAAATGTATATAGAAGGTTTTCAACATGAGCTACATATCTTTCAGCCTTTTTATTATTTGAATATTTTTGCTATCTTTTTCTCGCATTTATTTTATTTTTTATTTTTTTTTTCCTTTAAATCATTTCCTTCCTTTTTATTTGAGCAGAACAAGAAGAGAATGAGAACGAAGAATTTTGTTTTGTGTAAATATGGTACACATTTAATGTGACATGATAAATTTACATCTAAGCTCCATTGTTTCTTCTTGCTTGTGACTTTCATCTTTATATCTTGTTCAGCATGATTTTTGGGGTGGTATGGTTTTAGTGTTTGTTGGTTTGTCTGCTTTGGATGAAGATGGTCTTAAGGTTACTTAAGGTTTGATGAATTTTGGATCTTCTTTCTCTTATAAAATTGAACTTTATTAGATTTAAGGTCTTTAAACTAAGCTTTAATAAACTTTTAAGTTTTCATCAGTTTCACAATAAAAAGTGCAGTTAAAGCACAGGGTGTCAGTACAAAAAAATATTAATATAGGATGTAAAAAATTAAAAATTAAGCCATGAGACATTACTCTCTTTTTTATAGGTTGCAAAATTTTATGACAACTGTTGACACCAAAAAATTTTAAGGTTTTTTAATTAATTTAATTTTCAAGCACTTTCTTGTCGTTTTCGCTTGCTTTATATTATCGAGTTCAATGTATCTATCATTTCATTGAGCAAGCAAAACAACGAAATTTCTCAATATGAGTTAAAAATTTTTAATTTACTTAAAAGTAATGGGAAATGACTAATTGCAACTTAACATTTGAAAGCCATTTACAAATTATTATTTTAAAAAAACTAAAGTTTTGATCAAGTTTTAAAACGGGGTACTTCACAAATGACGTCCATCAAGACATGAAATTTTAGAATCGTTTTCATTTCGATCGGTCTCAAAAAAAATCTCTTTTATGAATTATACAGTTTACGACCTTTTTAAAGGACATCATTTATATATGAAACCAAAAGTCGTTCATTAAGCTGTTCCAAAAGTAAATTAAAGTCTGGAGCTATCCGAAAATCCACAGAAAAATTATTAATGGTCTAAGCAGGTCTCAGAACCACATTTACATTAATAACAACTCATACCTTTTAAATCAATATCTCAAAAATTGTTTACATTCAATAAAAGCGCTCAAGCCATTTCACCCAGCATAGAAACATCCCCATTCATTTTTTATTCCAATTTTTTTAGGGGCTTCATAGTGGATTTTTATATTGTGTAAAGCATTTTATGTAGATAAAAATGAGAGACAGAGAAACGCAAAAATATGTAATGATATAACAATATGAAAATATATCTACATAGAAGCAGCATCAGCAGCAGCAAAAAAAGAGAGTTGTAAAGAGAAAAGAACATTATTCATTCGTATGTATAAATGGAGTCGTATGTGATATAATTTGTATATTACTCACATAACATTTTTTTATATTATGCTGCTTTAATGGCTTTCATTTTTACATATGGGACTTTAAACATTTTTCACCGACATTTTCTTCATAAATTTTCTCTTCTTTTTCTTAGCCTTATTTTATTTTTATAGCATGCTCATGAAGGAGAAAAGAAAAATTCTTTCTTTTAGGATTTAACGACTGACATTATTCAGTATGTGATGAATTAAAGTGCGATAGAACAAAACATGGATATTTTTCAAAATGATGAGCATGAAATTTTCTGTTTTTGGTATGGATGGAGTGCATTTAATTGTAAGTCAAGCTGGATTATAGATTACAGAATATAGCAATAATTTACAATCACTCTAGATGAAGTTGACTAAGTCACGTAGCTTTAGAAACTGAACCAGAGTGTCAATAATTGATAACTTTGGCCCTGAAAGCTTTAACGATGACGATTTGGTGATGGAAACTCCATAGGCTGTCATATAGGCAATTTGACAGTATTTACAGCTTAAGTTTAGTACCTTAAAACCAGCTGTACAGCACTTTTGTCAATTGATTGCTTCACCGAGTTCAGAGATTCAATCATACATTGCAGTACCTCAGTTAATAATTCAATAAAATTTTAAAAATCCTTCACCATAAAAGAGGAAATGACAAATTTACAAATTCACGTAGTTTTTGTTGACTTAATAGACAGCATGAAATAACTTTCAATGATTATTCTATTCCATACTTATTTTATGAGGGTGAATTTATACCTAAACACACTTCAAATGACTTTAATTATTACAACAAATTTTACCCATAAATAATAAGAAAAATTTTAAATGGAACCAATGGTTCTTCCCCGACAGAACAAAAGAATGAACTTGAATTGCTTCTCTTACTGAGCACAAAAATTTTATAATGAATAGTAAAAAGTGGTTCAAGTGCTTTGGCGACAACCCCTAGCGGGAGTTACTAGCAATTTTCTAGTCTTTCTATTCTACTACTTGCAATTTACTAGTTATTATTAAAACAACTTACTGTTAGTAAATTACAATTGCGATTTAATAGCAACTTACAAGTAAATTACCATGTGAAATGTTTGATCAAATCTGCTTAAGTTCGAAATCTACGAAAAATCATCAAAAAAAGAATTTTTTGCGTCATAAAAAATTTTGTTCTAAATTTGGCATTTGCCATATACTTCACAAGAGCGCGCAGAAATCACCTTTATAACCTCGATCCAAATTTGTATGTGACTTTGAATAAATTATTTATCTTCCTCAGATTTGCGTGCGAGTCATGGGCGTTCATCAGTTTTCGACTTAATTAAATTAAGTCTTTATTTATTTTTCATAGTGTTATTGTACTTTAATTATCTTTACTAAGTGCACATTAATACTTTTACAATAATTTACACAAATAAGAAAAATCAAAAGAACACATGGAAATCAACGGTTATATTCATTTAATTTTTTTACAAATTTGCTAGTAAATTACTTGTTAAATTGTAAGCGAATTGACTAGTCAAATAGCAAGTGAAAATGCGGGTCTTTGGCGATGATTTGAACTTGGATTTTTACTAGTAAATAGCAAATAGCAAATGGAAAGTTATCCAGTAAATTACTAGTAAATTTCTGCTAGGGAACAGATGGCATGACATTGTTAGATTGACATGAAAAGGATGAATAAACAAATAAATCTGCACCTTTGTCACTAGTTTGCACGTATTTAGTTTTATTGTTTTGGTAGAGTTAATGCATTATTGATGAATTAAAGAAATTTTCTGTGAGGAATTTTCCACAGAATCTCAATATGGAAAGATTTGTTTACACA